ATGATTATAGTCTAGTCATTGTAAAATGGGTTTTGAATGGATTCTAAGCAGCATCTATTGATCATCTTGGGACTTAGTGGTCATCATTTAAAGCTATACTGTTTTATTATGTATGACATGATGAAGATGAATCATGATGAACTGTCAACATGGAGTCTTTGAAATGGGATTCCATGCAGTTCGTTTACCCAAGCACCGTGTTGGGACTGCTATTCATGCATAAGTAAGACACCTAGCTACAGATGGAAGCAACATTTTTTTCGTTCCGTCATGGAGCAATTTAGGAAAATCCTCCTTCAAAATAATATATAGAAATATGAAAATAGCATTTAGGTGCTTCAACTAATAACATGTTAAGATGTGATGTTAGAGCCCTGTTAAATACGTTGTACGATTGTCGTACGATCGTTGTACGATCTCAAAAATTGAGGACAACATTAGAATACTCTTGCATGTGTCCTGCAAAATTCAAATGTCTTTATACGATAAAGACTGTCTTAGATATCCTTGATAGTGGCTCGTTCTATCACACCCTGCCTATAACATGAACATCTTGAAACGACTGTGACCCCGCCTGTAAGGTAAGAAGCTTCAAGGAACATCTACTGATTAACATTCCTGTAACGTCTTGACATATCTCTGAACCCTTTCAACATAAATCCTCGCCGGCGTTCCCATTACTCACATCTGAGTCCAATTATAGCGCTGAATAGCGGCTGGGTGTGAAGATAATTGCATTGGAGCGGTTTATAGCACGCAATATACCCTACTGGGACAGGCTGGGCTGTAACGTTTGCTGGAAATGATGAGTCCTCCGAAAGGTATAAAAGTTTGTGTGCTGGCACTTGAGATAGATAACCCATGGAATCAATCTTTAGTATAAGAGTAGTTTTGATGCCAAGTCGTAAGATGAGATTGAACTTAATGTGACTAATCATTGATGCATCACAGGGTGAAATTAATGTATTTGGGTGGTGTCAATACTTTGAAGAGCAGGAAGAAAGACATGATTGATTTTAGACCAGATAAGAGGTGTTATAAATACTTGATATTTTTTAGATAAAATGTCTGCGTTTTTTAATTTGCTTCCCTGACTCACTGGTGGCCATGTGAAGGGCATCGCGTATCTGACATATTCATCTATTTAGTCCTGTGTATTGAGCTAAAGCAGTGGTTTTCATCTAATTTTCCCCATTTTTATGTGCTGAAATAGCGTTAGAATCGCCAATCTGCAATCTTGCGGCGCCACAGATGTGAATAAGGGTAGTAATTTCCATGCATAATTTAGGAATTAGGAGACGTCGTTCAGGTCAAGGGTAATCTTGCAAACAAAACTACTGCCCTGATATTACACTCTATTGCACTTCCCAACATATAACAGGTTATTAGTTTAGTAGGTCACGTTATCCTGGCCATTTGTGTCTTCAAACAATTATGTTGTAAACTTTGATGGCCTTGGTAGCTTTAATGGACCCTTTTAAGACACAAAATAACAAGTTGTAGACAGTTTGCTCATAAAACTGTCCCAAAAGGGGACTTCTGTGCTAAATAATTCAAGTTCCTTCGTTAGAAGCCATGTGGTTGATATATCCTACGTATGATGCACCAGAAAGGTTCGAAGTCTTTTTGAAAATGTTGACTGTTTAAGAAATTCAAGAACAAACTAAAATCATCATTCTATCTATAGAAGTATCAAACAGAAATCCTCGCTCCAGTTATAACATGGCTAAGAACATCCTTTGAAATTGGATAAAGATGGATAGTAGTTACATGAAAGACACAATATTGCCTACCCATGTACCCTTCCGTTATGTTCTGAACATCATCTGTATCTGTATAGCCGATATAACCGCCCTTCGGTGTAACACACCAGCCTTGCAGGAACGCGGTGCGGCGGCAGGTGGCTACATTACACCGAACGACTTGTTACACCTAACCCTTTAACATCTAACTCTAAACATTGTTGAAATGATAATGCCCCGACAGCGAGTTCCACTCTGCGATAGTTCTGGTAAATAATGAATTCTTGAACACCTCAATCCTTGGTCGATAACTCTGGTACTTTTTTGTATAGCATATAAAATATGCCCTGCCCCAAGAACCCCATTTACAGTCCCGGTGTAGTTGGTGAATAATTGATACCAGGCGGTCCTCTGACCTTCTGAAGACAGACATGTTCGCGCGCGCAGATAGCCTTGAAATGAGAGGGGCCAGCACCCTGTTTATCAATAGACTGATCCCATAGCCCCGCCCAACTCCCCCCATTTCAGCAAATGAATATGGAAAATTAGATACGAACGGAAGGCGTATGTCAATACATAAGATGGATAGATAGATGGATATGTCTGCTACGCATTGCCCTTAATATGGACACCGGTGGTTGAGTCAGATTAGCGAAGCAAATTCAAAAAGTAGATTTGACTATTTGACGGATATTCAGCCGATATCTTATTGGTCGAAGCAGTAATTGCCATGCTATCATTGGCTGCCCAACAGCGTCAAAATAAAGACATGTCCTCAATCCAGGGCGTTCTCACTCCTGAGGATGAATCCCTCCCTTGACCGACTCCGCTCCCGTGTCATGTAGATCTGATGCGAATATTAAAAGGACACAGACTCATTGGTCGTACTGCTATCATTGGCTGAACTGCTAATTGTGTTGGACAGTCAGGATCGGTCAATGTCTAGTGTATGAGCAGGGATTTCCTGACCATTATCCCAGTTTCCTGTACAAGGCTGAGGCTTTACTGAAGGTATAAAGGATATACACAGTAAAGGCCACCATTAGATGTCATTAGGTGCTGTAATAGCTGTGATATAAAGTATAAAAAGCTTTTAAGGGCTCACGTTAAAGATGGGTTAGGTACATTAAATCGACAACATGGCATGCATGATTATCAAGGTCTGCTAAGTCAATCTTCTTGTACGTTTCGTGAATGTATAGTAGTCAGTCAGTCTAATAAAGACTATAATGACTATCACATTAAACTGTGAAGGTATAGCACTGTTAAATCTCTCGTCTTAAAGATACATTTAAAAGTTACCGTTAGTACGAAGCAATAACGACCAGCTCGTTGGAATTGCCCTTTATGATATTGATTACTAAAGGCATACAGGGCCCCTGCATTCTGCGTTACTGTTGATTAAGAGCAGAGAGTAAAGTTATTGCAGATAAGCACATTCCTAAAGGTAAGTAGATGCAATAATTGATCTAGAAGCTTTTCACGTCTATTGCCCCCATAGCTGATGCAATAAGGCAGTGAGATCGACCTCAAAAAGGGTTCCTGGCTGCATGTATGTCATATTATATCGATTATTACCACAGCCACATTTTTACTGATAAAACTTTATACCTTCCATCGCATAAAGATTTTCACTTCTGCATATATTCCACCTTACAAAGATTTTTTTTCTCCCCATCCAATTTCTGTAAATATTCTGAACAATATCCATTCCCAAAGGCAAGGAATATGTAACTGCCACGCATTTCAGTTTTTGATTAACATAATTTCAATATATAAAGTGCACCTGAAGCAAAAATCTTGGGGACTCACAGGCGAACTTGGCGACTTTCCAAGGGTTTTCAAAATATCATTGTCATGGCCATCGTCTGCTGACCAATAAACCAGATGGATGAGAGTGGTCATGAATGAGAGTTTTCTCTTGTAAAGATTTTTAAGTCGCAAGATCTAATGATACTTGAAGCACACTCAAGAGGAAAATAAAGGGATTAAAATCGAGCCATCAATTCATTTTATTCCCATTTATTGATAACACATATAACCTGATCAGCTTGATGCAGTTGCCCTCGAAATTGAAATTTTTTTTAATTTTATGTAAATTCCATCAACGGTTGAAATTAACCACATAAATTCAGGTAGTAAGATCGATATTCATTCCATGCAGTAGGTGAACCCAAGAAAGATGGGAATACGGATAATCAAACACTTAAAATATGATTAACGATACCAATAAAGCTCTGAAGCAGCAAGTTCTCACCGCAGAGAAACTTTACGACTCTTTTTACGACTTCTTGGTCCGTGAGGCTTTTTATTGCTGACGTTTTATTGCTTTCTTCCTTACAATATACAAAGTTGCGCAACATCAGTACCAGAGGGTCTGATGCAATACTTATAATGCTATGATCATAAAGAGCCGAAGCATGCTAATAGTATTTAAACTCTCCAAGATATACCGAAAATTACTACAATCAGATTATCAAAATTTAATTACGTGAAAAAGTACATTTATTGTACGTTAAGCAATCTAAATACGGGTAACAGTGGTTTTTCTTTGTTTTTTGAATATTGAATACATGGAAATCTTTATAGAATTGAAGAGCATACATCTCTCATATGAGTGTTCTCACTGTTTCATCAGTCAATAGTTCATAGATACATTAGGGAAAATCCACTCCTTCAACTGTTAGATCAACAGACAGATATGCCATCATTTTTAAGCGGCAATTCAATTATTTCAAGGCGAGACAGATTTATATTGGCAGTCGGCGCTCATGGGCGGATGGTCCGTACCGATAAGGCGGGTGGTCGTGTCCACTGAGGCAGCAGTCATCAGCAGACTGAATACAGATATCTGCCATACGCAGATGGAATACCGATTGCCTTTGGTGTTAAGTTTCCGTCTGGGTTTAGAATTATTGCCGTGACCTTATTTTACCCCCACCAAGAAGTTTTCACCACCATATTTGCTTTAATTAGCTGGTTGGTAAAATGTTTGTTTGTTTCGTTGGTTGGTTGGTTGGTTGGTTGGTTGGTTGGTTGGTTGGTTGGTTGGTTGGTTGGTTGGTTGGTTGGTTGGTTGGTTGGTTAGTTCGTTTGTTGGCTTCTATACTATGCGGGTTCTTCGATTTTTCTACATGTTTATTGATTCAACTTCCTTTCTCACTCTTGTTATGTAAAACGGCATAGCATTCTCAGTTCAAAGCAACTTGGCAGAAATGTATTTATTATTATATCTTATGGTGTTATCTGTTTTTCTAGTTTCCAGGTTGACGGCAGACATCATAGAGGTAAACGGGGCCCAGAAGATGAGGATACGAACAGGCTACTTGTCAGGGACACAAGAGATGATACGGACAAGGCTGGTGAGCATCATCTATATTTGATTGTCAGGAAAGTCCAATACCTCTGGTCTTCTTCAATATACTTACTCAATCAATCAATCAATCAATCAGTCAAATGGTTTATGAGACATGCCTCACTAGTTTTGTGGCAATAAAAAGTAATATTTGAAAAAAAAAGCATAAGAAGATGTCATTAAAATGTATGTAAAATCGCAACTGACTCCAAAAGACTACATGCATTGCCTGCTCTTCTGACATCGCCGTGTTGGAAGTCGTTCGGTATCATTTTGTATCTATCTAATATGCATTACAACCACAGAATTACACCCTAATGTAAACTATTAACAAAGGGATTGGATAAAATATTAAGAAGGCGCTTTTCTATCAAAATATTAGACTACTTAGATGAATAAACTGTTTCTGCCCTACAGATGCCACCAACGAGATTTCAAAGCTGTCCAACAGGTGCGTAATCTATTAAATGGCAAAAAAAGAGCTAATCTCCAAGCAGATGTTTACGGCGGCAAAATAGGCCTATTGGATACTGTCTTGCCAATCATATCACTCATATCTCGAGCTATTTTAAAGAAGTTAGGAGGAAGTGCCTCAATGTTGCAAGGGCCAAACGACAGCAGCAACAATAGCAGTCCTGGCAACGGACCACCAATGCCTAAAGTGTGGATGACTGTGTGCCTTAAGCTTCGGACCCAGAAGCCACATGAGGACATAGCCCCGTGAAAGAGAACGCTAACAGCCATCTTGGATAACGAAGGACTACCAAGGCCTATTGCACACTGTCTAACTGACATCGAAACGATTTTGCCGTCGTAAACGTCTGCTTAGAGATTACAGAAGAGCCGTGTGTTGCTCCAGTTTGCACCTCTCTGACCTGTCTGTCCACCGCACCGTTTCGACTTACCCTCGCCTCGTGTTTCCATTCCAGACTAGCCATTCCCACCTTACTGCCCAAAGCGGTAACACCAATGGCGTGAGTATGCCACTAATACACAGTAACGGCACCTGGCGGCTCTGCGTAGGACTGCAGTCACCCTCACCCTGCCAACAAAACCTGCACTAAATCCTACCCAATGACAACACGGTTTCTTTCATTTGCATTTTTCTTCCTTGAATCAGCGATGGTTTGAGGGCTATAACTCCCTGTAATTATTACGTTACTGGCTTCTCTGGCAAGACGCCTATCTTCGACAAATCAACACATAATACGATAGTATGTTAAGCAAATAGGTATAACAAAATATAATTTTAGCGTGTTTTAGAATTCCAGAGGTGATTTCAAGCATATGCTCAGAGTAGTGTACATCTGTATCTATTGGTTATTCTGTATAATATCAACCAGGAAACATTCCACCAAGAATCACGTTAACGCCATTGCTTCTGCTGCACTGATGTTCTATTCTGTTTAGCATCAAACTCCCACAATGCTGTCTTTTTAAACATCCATATCACCTAACCCCTAACATATTCACAGCTCCACAGCCATTTCAAAACTAACTGCACTTTTATATTTTTCAGCCAGCTGCAACACAGTAGTACGTAGTGAAACTAACATCGCTTCACATGATAGATGATACTGTACTGCATTTCAAGAAAAATACATTGTTTCTTTAAGTTGTCATCACCATCAACATGAACAACAAAAGAAAAAACAAAGGAATCGATGACTTCATGAGAAAAATTAAGTTGATTTTACATGTAGGTAGCAATCTATCATAATAACCTGTCTCGGTCTTGAATGTTTTCCAGAACTACGTCGGTCACACCTACTATGGTGTTCCTCAACATCTTGGATAACTACGATCAACGGTTGAGACCAAACTTTAAGGGTAGGCCATGGAACATTCATTCTTTTCTCCCAAAAGATTTGTTTACCCAATTGTGTTGCATAACGTTTCAACTAAGAATGATTTTGCACGTTTACGTTCCATGCCTTCTTTCAGGTCCCCCTGTGCAGGTTTACTGCTCAGCGTACATAAACAGCATCAGTTCCATCTCCGAGGAATCAATGGTAGGATATAATTTAAACATTGAGATCCCAGTTTAATGCTAATTAATTTTCGATGGTATCGGTGTATTCGGTCACTTACCGGCAATACTCTATGATACCACGTCAGATTAGCAGGCAATGTGTTGGAAGTATTGTTTTGAGCGACACTGGTTTAGGGAAGTTTGTATGTATCTCGCCCTCAACAGCAATGCTCGGAAGTGGGTGGGCAGAGATTGGTTTTCAGTTGATTGACAGGGTTGTGACCCGGTATGTGGCCTCAGGCCTGGGAAGTAGGATGTGGTATGAGGTCGCCAGGAATGATGTGTACCATGCAATTATGGTATGAAACATATGAAATACCATTGACCATGGTATACTACTATGCCAGAGTACGTTAAGTCATACAATTGTATTAGTAACAATCCATTCTATGATGTAATTCAATCGTGTATTTCCCTCTGATCACATAATACATTTACATAATACCCAATACCCAAAGCACTAATATCTCTGGTTTGGTTTGGCTTGCAGGACTACACCGTCATGTTGTTCCTCCGGCAAAGATGGAACGACCCCAGATTCGTGTATCACGACTACAACGACAGCATCACGCTGTACGAGAAGGTCCTGGACAAGATTTGGGTGCCAGATATCTACTTCGTGAACGAGAAAGGAGCGCCGTTTGAATCGACTAGTGGACATAGCACCCTGCTTAGGATACATCCCAACGGAGACGTGCTCTACAGTGCTAAGTATGATGCAGACATTTGTTATATGTACACGGGACGCTAGACCATTATAAAACTACAATGTCATGTCTTTACAAAATGTGAATATTTACAACAGGAACTTACTTAGAAAATTGCATTATCTCAGTATTAAAAAGAATAGTTTTTTTTTACTCTTCCTAGCAGTCCTGTATTTAATATACTCTTATACTGATTTCTTACAGGAAAACTATCTTGCTGGCTTGCCCGATGAACTTCCAACTGTTCCCGATGGACAGTCAAGCTTGCAAGATTAAGATGGAGAGTTGTAAGTACAAGAAGAGCCTTAGTACAGATTTGCATTTCCCAAAACTTTCGGTTTCATTGTGGCCATTTGTTGACAGTTAATTGATAGGGTGGTCAGCAAAAGATGACCCAGCACGCGCCTTTAGGAAGTGCACTTAACTTGTAGGTCACGAAAACCCAAAATGCTTCCAAGAGACCTGAAATCTCCGTTTTCTTGTTTTAGATGGGCACACTACCAAGGATATAGAAATCTGGTGGTCGAAGGAAGATGCTGTTCTCATTGACCAGGATATCCAGTTGCCGGATTATGATCTGGTTACCTGGACAACTAACAACAACTGTGACAGTCATCACACTACAGGTGAGGCTTCTAGTGATGTGTCCAGTACCCATTCACATTGGTGAAGGGTGAAAGTTTGATATATTTGTATACATTTAGACACTTATGATTACGTTCATTGTAGTATATGTGAGTGATATCATATGTTTTTGTTAACCATTGATGGGGCCTATACAATTTTGTGCAATTAAGTTTTACATGTCAATATCCAAGATCTAAGTGGTTAGAAATACTATGTACACATATAGCCGTATGCTAACCCTTACTTCCTTTTCCCTATAGGTACATACTCGTGCATAGAGACGAAGCTGTTTCTCATCAGACACATTGGGTACTACCTTATTCAAAACTACATACCAAGGTGAGTACTTTCAATTCTCTATAGTTACTTGCAAGATGATGGTATTGTTTTGGGCGACGCTAGTTTAGGGAACTTTGTATGTACATTGTATCTGTCAACAAGGATTAGAAGTGAGTGGGTGAAGATTGGATTTAAGTTGATTGACAGGGTTGTAACGTGCTTTGTATATATGCCCTGGGCGTCAGTATGTGTTTCGGAATCGTCAAGAATGCACACTGTGTTATGGCGGTATGAAACATAAACCATAGTGTGATACCGGGGTAAGTCATACAATATGATGCAGTACTTCGGTTTAATCGGGTATTTCCAAATGATCACACGTGAGTGATACTATTAATAACTTTACCTTGTGTATTTCCAGCATCCTGATCGTGATCCTGTCGTGGTTATCCTTCTGGATCAGTCCTGAGATCGCCCCTGCCCGAGTGGCGCTCGGTATCACCACTGTGCTCACCTCCACCACGCTCACTGTGGTATCCCGCAGTGCCATGCCTAAGTAAGTAAACACGTTTTTCCTAATAAGCTAAAGGGCCTGCTTATGTACATACGTCTTTCGATCGTCCTAAGATCATAAATATAAGCGTATTTACAGTTTTTTGGATAGTTGTGTATTGAAACCGGGATTCAACATAAGCAACTCAGCAACCATTTGTATTTCAATAATTGCAAAATGCAGCTATTGCTTCATCGTTTCAGTGTCATTGTCCCTGTAGGCTAGCACTATCATGAGCTAGCACATATCAGAAAATCACGAGCTTTAGCCTGGATGCCTGACCCACAGCACGCTAAGGTCCAAAGTTATCCAGAGTATTGTGCGCACGCTAGTGTAGTATGGGTCTGGAATCCATGCTATAGCCTATCTTTATCTTTTTCCTGCTTCAGGTTCTCCTACGTTCGGGCCATAGATGTGTGGATGATGACCTGTGCCCTCTTCATCTTCTCCGCGTTGGTTGAATTCGCAGTCGTCCATTTTATCTTCAAGCGAGATAAGAAGTTTGCCATCTCCCGCAGAGCCAGGGAGTTATCACAACGACTGCCGCGTAAGAAGAAGGCAACAGATAAGAAAGATGTCACCTCTGAGGATGCCGATGATCAAGTAAATATCACCATAGATACAAGAAGCTGATAGCTTTATCTTACTATCCAATCAAAGACTTAGGCTTCGGCTTATTTTTAGCACTTTTTGGCGTTTTTTTAATCTGGCGTTCACTTTTGTATTAATCTGGTAACCCTTTTTTACGCCAGCCTTGAGTGGCCAATGCTAACTGTCTGGCAAATGGATACTGCCTGGCCAATTTGATGCTGTCTTTGCGGCCACCAAATGCTCTGCTTTAAGAATGACTGTGACCGTGAGATGAAAGTTCATGATACAATAAGTTATTCTTGTTTCTCCTATGAACCAGGTTGACTTTAAGCCTGACAAAGGCATGTCTTCACCAGAGCTTGACCAGGACACTGTTGCGGCTTCGGAAGAGGCGAAGCCACACCGCACCCCTGCTGAGATCAAGGCCCTGTACATGCGCAGGGCCCGGCGGATAGATTACTACTCCAGACTTCTCTTTCCACTACTGTTCACCGTTTTCAACATTTTGTACTGGTCCGTGTACCTCTCCTGGTATCACTGAATGACTTAATAATGATATACTGATCTGCTGGTCACCAGTATAATGTTTTCCTTTTGTTAGGTTCATTAGACATGAAAATACTGCAACAACATTACTGTAACACTGTAATATTTCAGATTCCATAAGCAATATCCTTCTTGCCTTATTGGTACCTTGGCATGGTCACTGAAACCTGTCTTACCTTAATAATTATGCAATGATTATATTTCTTTGAAATGGTGAGCAATATGTGTGCATTCGTGTAAATATAAATCAAAATATGTACTCACACACATTTATGAAAAGTGCACCTACGCACAGAAAATTTGCATTGACAGGACCGACCCAGTATTACACGAACAAATAGAGATGGCATGCAAATATTACAACAACAACAACAACAAAATACAAATGATACGAAAGGAAATACGACATATGCAAATGCACAGCACTAATATTACAACACCTTGCCAACCGTTAATACGCTCTTTCTATCGTTTTCCTGCCAAAAAGACTGGACCGGTACATTACTCTGTTTATCACTTTTTGTTCTGAATATGAACAGGCGTGTTGATTGGCCAAACCTGAGCGGGTCAACCAATCAGAAGAGGCCTCGCCTTTGAATTAGCTCACCAGACAAAGAGAACATTTGGCAGTGAAGCAATAGAAAAGCGTACTAAAGCAAAAGGAAGGCTGCATATACAGCACAGTGAACATGAATACTGCACAACCAGTTAAGGCATCACCTTCACATAGTGAACAGTTTCTAGTTAAGGAGTCTGATACATATCAAATACAAGCGGATCAAAATACACAGCACTGTACAGTATCAATTATGTATATGAATGCATTATCGCTACTTGGGGAAAGGGAAGGGTAATAAATGACCAAAAGGGCAAGCATTGGCCGCGGAGGAGAACTGTGCTTATGTGATACAAACAAATATGATAATTATGATGTAAATATAAAAGTTGTATATGTGAACGTCTGTGCACCCTTTATACGATCATTACTTATTTGTGAATTCATAAAACCGGACTTGCATTAGATAGGTCCTTTTGAAATGCTTCTCTGTGACAATATTGTAGTATGGAAGTCATCGGTGTTGATGACATGTATGGCTTGGGACTTCAATGCTGAAACTACATGTACATGATTGTGCCTAGGCCTATTCTTGTGCCATTTAAGAAATTCCGACAGGAGTCGCTGTGCTAGTACTTGGAAAGGCCAGGGGGATGGGCACCTCGCAAAGCACGACGGGTAATTTTTCCGGTCTGAACCGCAGCGGGCTCATTTGAAAAAAGTTCAGACGTACCTGGACACAAGAAACTTCTTCCAACGACCAAGACACATCTCTGTGTCAGTTTGGTGGAACTTGGGTCTTTCAAAATAATATCCATTATTATTATATTAAGAAAATATAAGATTTTAGAGCAATACATATAGAGCACCTAAAGGAGAGTTGGGAGAAACCAAGCAACCTGATTGGCCAAACACGGCACGTGACACCCGTCCATCCCCCTGGGAAAGGCTTTCCAACCGCTCTATACTACCACATATGTCTGATTAATACAATATGTCACTGAAGTGGTATCTAATGCTTTGCTTTTGAAAAAGAAATACAATCAGGCATTGTTTTAGAAACATAAGTTTATTTCACATATTTCCACATACAGAGTCACAATGGTTATCATAAATTATGTTCTTTCCAAAGTATTAGTCTGTGCATTGTGAAAGTATTGCAAACGATTTTGACGTGAATGAAATTGACCCTGGCTTGAAATAAGGCAATAGTATAGACCTAATCTTTGTCAATCAATAATAGAATTTCGAACAGGTAAAGGCCAACATTTGCATTTCATGCTGGTATTTGCTTCATACCATTGCTAGTGACTACACACACATATTTGGCATAGGGTGCATTTCTCTTCTATTACATCCAAAAGTATCCCTAACCCATTTGTAGTATATGAAAAGTTAATTCAAGTCGAGCTCCCAGCGCAAGACCTTCTACCAGCACTGAGTGGAAGAGGCTATACAAGAGATTGGTCAGCGAAAGACACTGGTCAGTTGAAGACAAATATACCATAATATGTAAAAGCTTTTTGTGAAGAAATATTATACAGCATCATTCCCAAAAGCGCATAAATTTTAACGTATGAATACTTCAAAATTTTTCTTAAACAAATTTATCTCTTTACACTCCATGTCAGAACAAATTATTCACACTGTTATACTTACGGAGTCTAAAGGTGTACAGTTTGTCAACGATAACTTTACGGAGTGAAGATACCAAGGGAAATCGCGGGGTACACGAGTGGTGACTGACATTATTTTGTTTTAGAGCATACTTTTTCTCGTAAAAAGATAATATTTTTACAACCCCCGAAAGGCCCATACCCTACTCAAGAAATAAGTAATTATTAACAATAGAATAGCTGATTTAAAGATTTTTGATTATTGACAAGATATCAAATGACATTATTTTTCTTTACATAGCTGATAAAACTTTCTGTTTTTTCTTCGTTCCCTACCTACATCTTAAACTTAGATTTACATTGATTTTAGTACACAATGACACAACAGGCCCACGGGTATATGTACAACCAAAAAGACGCAACGTAGGACACTAATTTGCTACAATACAAGAATTTTCCACAATAAAACAAAAGACATTCATCTCAACACAAAGCAATTCACTTATGCACTGAAATGGGGACCTTTTACAATTACTACTGCGCATGCCAATTTTCAAACAAGGCCCTCCAAACAACACAAAACACGTCAGGACATGTATGACGTATGGGCTTTCACCTTTGACCCCAGGCATGCGCAGTCGTAATTGTGAACCTGCTTATACAATATAAAATGGTCTATGCTCCAAGAGGTATGTTGCTATACTACGCCTCGTACCAAGACAAATATATAGTCCAGTATGCGATATTGAAGAATGTGAAGGAAACGGGAAACACCACCCGGGAGATGAGGTCTATTCTTCGTGCTCTTGTCTGATAGAGTAGTGTGACTTCTGCGGCTGTTCTCCTCCGGGGTCGGCGGCGTTTCTTTTTGGGTGTGCCATTTTCGAGATCCAGCGGTGTATTGTCCTAGAAAAATGCATGCCAGAAATAAATTTAGATCTCTTTTATTCTGACACCGTAGGCTATATGAGCGAAATCATGTGGTCATGGTTGGAATAAGCTCTTACAAAGCGTCCGCTGCTTTCAGATTAGCAACCCATGCATTTACAAAGTTGTTGTGCAGTCCAGCCAAATTGTAAGCAGTATCAGACGGTTGCAGTTAGTAAATATGTGCGTTCGGCCACTCCTAGCTCCTAGTATTCAATCACATGGCTTGAAAACAATGGACAACACAGGGGGGGGGGGTCATCTAAAACTCAAATGCTACGCAAACGAAGCTCAATAGGGAGGGAGATCTGAACCCTCTGCTGCCTAGGGTACCTAGTTTAACGTTAAGACGTCTGTTACCATATTCTTAGGTAAGTTACGACACGTAAACCATACAAAACATAGAGTACTCTACTGTAAGAAACTGTTCACAGTTTTCCAGACGATACAAGAAAGGGACAGTTTGAGTAGAGGAAGCCCTATGCTACAGGCAGCAGAGGGTACAGCTAAACAGTGGAGAACTAGCTACAACGATGGTGCAACAGACGAATTAGAACATTGCAAACGGATGGGCTACCTGTGATGTATTCCCTCCCTCAAGCAACTCGCGTTGCGACCCACCAAATGGGGGTGATTCGCCCCGAGCTCGAGAAACCTGCGATAATATAACAGGCAAATAGTCTTCTTTCAGAAGGTTCTGGAGAGGGTAGCATGCAAACCTACTTTCAGCGTCAGATCAACGATGAATTTACACTGCGTACCCTCCTTTGTGCATTAACTTCTATTTGCTCTTACAAAAGCAAAGATGACACGTTCAATGATGATTTCTTAAAAAGTGTTATTTGAAGTAAAACAAAATGGTCTACACTAGCAATGAACATGAACTGTGGACTCAAATTTCAGTGAAAGAGAAATAACTTTTTCTTGTTTAACTTGGATTTTCTTGAAGAGTAGTGCAAGTAGGGAGCAAACCTTGACACTGCATATTAAAAGCCACCAGCGGGGAAGGTTTAATGGCAAATCTCTTGGATCCAGTTCCTTTGATGCATTTATTTCCTTTTCCAGGCTTTTGGCTGTTACGAAATTAATTTACGACAATTTTTAACGGGGTCTGTTATCAAGCCATATGATGTGAAGATCAGGCTGTTATCGCTATTCTTTTGACTTGCAGTTATAAAAAACTCAGTGTTTTTGGTCATCCGAATTTATGGACGCAGCAAACAGAAAATACAGAGAAAAAACACAGCTAAAACAACTCAACCTTTGCATCAAACCGTATGCAAGTTAGTTACACATACTGGTGAAAAATCCTAACCTGCTTCCTGTACTTGAACTTCCAGTGCTTGTTGAGTCCCACGAGGTTTCTGACTTTCTTGGGGAAGCCGAATTTCTTGTGTCTCTTGAAGATGAAGTGGACCGCAATAAACTCAACCAGAGCGCCAAAGACGAAGGTAATGCAGACCATCATCCAGATATCCATGGCTCGAATGTAGGAGAATCTGAGGGAAGGGCAAGCATACGTTAGCCAGACCAACATACATACAGAAGAAGTGCAAAGTTTCCCACTATTCAAATGGACTTCTAAATGATTTCGTTAAAACCTGGACCCCTTAGAAACTTACAAGATAGAGACGACGATTATTTGAAATAACTATCAGTTGATCTTACTGTACTTTTTTTTGTACGAGATTTCGGAGATTGCAAACGTCTCGGCTTCTTGAATTCCCCCATATGAACCTCTAATTCATTCTGGCTCCCAGCCAGATTTTGAAACCTTTGATCTCGTGTCATTCTGCTTGTCAATCTTGTCCCACCCTTGCGGCACAACTATACATTAGACATAACCTTTGGTATCTACGTAATGGTATCAAAAGCATGAAGTGTAGTACCAACTGAAGTCGCTAGGTTGTTACCTTGGCATGGTCTGCCTGTTTACACCAAACAGTGCTGTTGATGTCAGGACTGTGGTGATGCCCAGAGCCACGCGAGCAGGCGCAATCTCAGGGCTGATCCAGAACGTCAGCCACGACAACACCGTGATCATAATGCTGGAAAACATCAACTGAATGTGAGAACATCTCGCGATACTAGCCAATGGTTATCATTAACTATCTGGTGGACGTAAATCATTGGGCACTTTAGGTATACGGGACTCACTCCACAGAATGTGGTATTCACCAACTGCAATTAAAAATACAATCTTGTGCGTATGCCTATGGGTACTAGTACATTAATTTACAAAACGTGTAATTTAGCAATAGGAACTAGTTCAATGAAAGAAACGTTACATTATTTGATAATTTTTTTGCTTACCTGGGGATGTAGCTAGACAGCAGGTAAAATCCTAGTCTCCTAACAAGCTTGAATTGTGCCTCAAGGCAGGTGAATGTGCCTAGAAAAGACCATGGAATATTCATGAATTTAAGGTGGGCAGGTACAAACCATTGGCATCATTTGGCATACTCATACGTCTGTCGTAGCCCCTAGCTCAATTCCTAGAAGTGGTCAATTGGCTTTGCATTGAGCAGCACCGTTAAAAGACACAATAATCATTATAGATAGGCAAATACATACCTATTTCTCGATCAGAATCACAGGTTGTAAACCGCCGTCCCCTCAGGATGTACTCGGGCAACTCGATGTCACCGCTGAGGACCACCGGGTCCACATCCCAGATCAGCAGGAGGTCTTTATCCGTGTGGCTATCTTCTCATGGAAACAAAAAATTTTCTAAGTCAGATGGTGATCAGATGTGTCTGAAAGAAGGTTAGAACCGAGTTACGTACGTCGTACGAAAAGTTGTATAAATTTACGGCATCATAATCGCACGACGACGTAGTACGAAATTGACGGCACCGGTTACTCACATTGCAATGGAAGATCAGATACTCTTTAAAAAACAGTTAAAAACAGGTACTAATAGAGGATGTCTATAAACAAGAAGTGTAAATGTCTACGTACTGATTTTAAAGCTTTATCTTGTGTAACTTTATCTTGTTAATCCATTCATTGTTTAGTAGTAAAAAAAAAAACAAGAATAAATAGCTTCCTTTACTTCTCCTCAAAACTGAAAGTTAAGATAAAACATCTTTGTTGTGACAGCCATTTTTCAGTGATTTCACTGGCAATCCTATGCGTACCCATACAGAAGTGTCCATGCAGAGGTAAGGTAACACGTACAGCTCTCCGTCTGTAAGGTGCAGACCTGGGTGTCCATCGGGAACATCTCGAAGTTCATTCGACATTTCAGCAGCATCGTGTATCTAGGAAAGAAGGATCAAGCCAGGTGCATAAAAATTACAACTACACGGTAGCTATCTATGTATGGACGTGTCCATGGTGTGTATGTCTGTGTTTACGTGTGTGTGTGTGTGTGTGTGTGTGTGTGTGTGTGTGTGTGTGTGTGTGTGTGTGTGTGTGTGTGTGAATGTGTGTTTTTGTATGTCTGTGTGTGTTTGTATGCGTGTGAATGTGTGCATGATTGGTACATAAAATGTGCGTATGCTAACAAACATATCTAGCATTAGTTGCCCGAACGCAGTAGGCTATCCCGTGGATTTGTATGCTACCTTGTCATTGTGCTCATTCTAGCCATCCCTTACTACTTTTGATATCTTTCTGCCTTTTGCGAAACGTTCCTTGTTTTATTGATGTAAGAAGCCCCCAAGATGTGTACAGTGCCGTATAGCCTATGTATACACAATAGCCTACATATAACTTACTTTTCGCTGTACAGTACTTCACCATTTGGGTATATTCTCAGCATCTTGTTGTTTCCTGTAGTAGAGATGAAGCCTGCGGCCTTCTCGTTCACGAAGAACAGATCCGGCAGCCAAACCTGCCAAACAGTAAATGGTAAAGGGCCATATCCAATTATCGTTTCAAATAGTTCAAGGACAAACCAACCGCTGGTACGAACTAGCCTGAAAGTTAACGCCTATGTATTAAATTCATTTAGCGTGATATTCTTGATATTCCGGACAGACTACTAATTTAAAAGTACATTGGCAGCATGTGGGCGGGGAAAGATTAACAGGCAGAATCATAGAAGCCCAAATAGCCAGACAAACAAGATTGAGTGCAGTACAGGTTTCAATTCTTTGCTGCCTTGTTTCATCACTATTTAGAAATATTTACCTTGTCGAGATTACGGGATGAAAGAACGATGGAGTCGTTGAAGTCGTAATGTTGAAGACGTGAATCCACCCATCTCTGTCGCATGAAAACCGTTACGATGTAGTCCTGGGAAAGGACAAAACAGATTTTTTTTGTAATGCATGGCACTGATTTTGACCGTGTGACAAACAATATGAAATCCTCAGTAAGCACACACATTACCGCTAAACCTACCACCAAAGTATAGAAAATACTTCCTAATGGTAGTGAAAGAGGCCACATAGACCATCCCAGAACCGAGACGGGGGTCGGTACAGATCTCTCGGGGCACCTTTGAACTGAAGCACTTAAGTTTTCTAAAAAGTCATTTACCGTTATAGATGAACTCTTATTCTAATGAAGTCATAAATTTAGAAAAAATTCTATAAGATAAAACGTCGAACCTACCATAGTCTCGGCCTTCACCGAACCCAAGTTGTTCACAACCAACTGGCAGAAGATTTTTACTGGAGGTCCTACAGACGATAGAAAGAAATTAATAAAAGCTTGTTGAAAATACTTGTAAGGAAATACGCTCTAAATGAATAAACCTTTAGGCAACAATTATTAAACACAGCTTAACATGCTATATTACCTTTGAAGTCTGGTCTAACTCTGTCGTCGTATTTTGATAGCAGCGAAACGATAACTTTTGTTGGGGTGACCTTGTCAGCCTTTGACCTTTAAAACAGATGGGAAGATAAAGGATTCAACTGAGATTAGTAAACAAAGGAAAATTAATAAATTCCCATTTCCATTAAAACCTGTAATGCACATGTACTTTGGAATCACTCCTTCTTACATATACAACATTTGCAAACCATTGGTACCTGAAGGAATGCAGGCGTCAAAAAGAAAAGAAGCTGCCGGAGATAATGGCTTGAATTACTACTTGACAACTTGTGTAACAAGTCAAAGTCACAAAAGATGTGAAGAAGAATTCATTGTTTGGTATATCATGTGTTTAGTCATTTGTTTAACCTTTCTGACCAATTAGATTTCAGAATGAAGGCAATTTTCATCGGGTGTTGGGGTAGGGTTTCCAGAGGATGCCATCTAAATAACAAATTTGTTTCATAATGGCCTATGGAAGAATACAAAAAAAGGCAGGCACTCTTTAATACTCACCTAGTTACGTTGGCTGACTCATCGTCCTCGTCCCTTGGAATATCTCGTGGAATAGGCGGCATGGGGAAGGCTTCCGGCTGCTCCTCCGCCGGCGGGGGTCTTACAGAGTTCACTGCTGGCGGAGGTAAGTCTCCGTTTGCAGTATGAGAAACATCCCGGGCATATCGGCCGTATGGGAATACCCCCATCGCTTCCAGCACCATTCTGGTATTGGGACAGATAAAAACGATAACAAATGGTCACCAATGGCGGATCTCCAAGTAGGTCTTTTGGTGGCTGCAAAGAAAATATTGTTTAATTTCATTTCGTAGGTTTAAGTAGCTAAATCAAGTATTTAAGCTATTTTGGTATCACGATCTGATTTCCAGTTAATGTAGTTATGTTAATCTTGTATATGTAATATACATTTTATTCGTTTGGGGAAGGACCGCGAAAAACATACTGTTAGGTTTCAGGCCTCTCTGGCATATTGTCCATTTTTTCTATTTAGCTATGTAATTTTTCATATATGTGAAAACAAACAATAAGCAGTAAGTACCAGGCTGTATCCATTGATCAGACAGTTACCATTTCGCCACCCAAAGCCTATCTTTGCAGCCATCAAAATATCTGCTCGGAGGTTAACCAATAGCTACATACCCCGTATCATTACAGGGCATGTGCCACAACGATGACAGGACTCTTGCTGCTCCAGCATACGTGAGATTATATATGAATGTTTTGAGATATAATATCAGATATGACATTAGACAATACACTTTCAGCCTGCAAAGCAGTAGTCAATCACTTGCAATAACATGAATAGAATCTGTGTAATCTTGACTGAACGCTGACGAAATGTAATGACAATGAAAGCCAGTTTGTAACATGATTTTGATGAATTCTTGGATATATATGTGGTATAAATGCTTTTCCTTTAGTGTTCTGCAACATCGCAGAATGTCAAAATTGTGTTCTCCAATTTGGAAACACTTCCTGCAAATACACACTTAAAAGTCCGGATTTAATCCCATTGCATATACATAATTGCTTGCGGCAAACATTTTATATGACTATTTGTAGTTTTGAAAAATACGTAGTCAGTAGTAAACACAAAAGCTCTCAAACATCATTGAACCGCTAGCATGATTTTTACAATAGTCTACAAAATTGCAGCTTGCTTATGTTTAATTTTTCAACATTGAAAATATCTCTGCAAGATGCAGACTGCAGATGGGTACTTCTAACACTGGATATTGTAGACAGAGAAGATCAGGTCCTCGGCAGTGTTTCTGTCACGTCCTGTGCAGAACCCTGCCCGTCCCCTCGCGAGTCTGGTATGTCCTGGCACAGCCTCCGCATTCATGGCGAGAATTTGAGCAGACGGTCTTTGCCGGGTCAGGGCTGCCGCATTACAATAACCGCATGTAGAGACAGCACGTCACTGCTTTAGCGTGCACCGGAATAATGTAACATATATAAAACATAGTAGTGTTGCTAAATTTCAGTTCACTCAAAGCATCTTTTGACTCCGTTGGTTGCTATTGCCACGTGCATGGACCTAAATACATACAATGAATTCAACGTTTTAATTATTAATGAATGCATATAAATAAATGGTTGAATTGACTAAATTTTAGTCCACTGTTGCTATATTGCTATATTTCTTATAATTTGGTTGATGTTGCAACTACTGAAAGGCTGTAGATGGAGCCTAATATGTATTTCAAATGAACTACGTACGTTACGTTTGAGTTATAAATGACCAATGGAAATAAATGTGTTGGCCTTGAGCCATTGTAGCGTTATCACTGTAACAGCAATGGCAGTAACTATTGTTAAGTATTAATAAACGTCATTATTTAAATAACAAAACTAAAACGTTTATTGAAAATATCTATTTCATACAGTGATCAAAGGGAACAATCCTGAATTTGGCCCATGTTGTAGAATTGTGTCACTCAGTACATAGTATAAATATTTGAGTTAGCACAAGTAGGTAAAACTTTTATAAGTTCTAAAACTTTTACAAAACGTTCAATAAAAGGACTCGTGAGAACATTCAAATAGTCCGTATCAAATCCAGGACTGGCTTGGCCTAGATATGGATGCTTTAAAATACTTACGTACTCATATCTGTGATCATATACAGTAAAAACAATACATTTCAATACGTATAAAGAAGGATATATCTTGCATGTATTTTTTTGTAGCTTGACTAAGATGGTTAGGAATTCTTTCTGACTAAGTAACGAAACAGAAATAACAGATCAGCCCCTCCCCCACCTACACTTTTTCTTACAACATGAAATAGAATATCGCACCGCGGGCTAATATTACAACATCCCACTACATTCCGTGCCTAACAGAAATACACGCAGTATTTCCGGTTGCTGCTTACAGCTTCGAACTTAGGGATGATCTTTTAGCATAAAATCATATTATTAAGTCCAGAGTACGTCCTTTGCTTTATTATCGATCTGTATAACATTTCCTTTGATCGCAAAATGGAGGGGAAAGTTTGTCTACAACCTGTACAATACTCAACACCATTAGTACCTCCACGTGCGAGGAATGCAGTGTACCGATACACTTACCAACACAAACATGTACCTTGCCCCCTACACGTTTCGCAAAACATCGGCCAGCAATGACCCTGAATAGTAATTACGTTTGTTGTGGTTAAGTAGTATTTGAAACTTTACGAGGGAAACAACGTTTAACATAAAGCCGGACATTGGAAACCGCAGAAGGCTTTAGAATTCTCTACTTCATCGTTTATAAATAGCTATGGCACAATTATTATCATGACATTTTGCTGACTACCGTGTAAGTAGTACATATCTCTGAAGTAGAGCTAAAGCTTGTTGCGTCAAAGTTTTAAACGGCAGAGTGAGCCAACACTCTGTAGGTACTTATGTAAAAAGACAGTGGTTCAAGGCGTACATAGCGTATATGGTGCAGGGGTTTGTGCCCTGAAATGTACGGCCCAACATAACAGACAGCACATACTGTCACGGCCGTATCAAATGACAGGGTCGCCGAGACCCGCAATTGAATATGTAGCATTTTTCCATAAATCATGCAAGTATTATCCATATTTTCACCGGGCAACGCACAAGGCCAGCCGGCAAATAGACTCTACATGGTACAAATCCAAGTCTCTGTGATCAAGTCTTTGATTATTATCAGGTTTTCGGCAGCAGTTGACGCAAGAACTTGACTCGCCACCGCGTCACCCAGCTGTTGCTGAGTCGCGCAGATCGAATATCAATTCCATCCCGCCCTCCCCACCTCCTTACCCACCACCGCAACTTCACCGTCCCAAACGCCGCCAATACGCAGCGTTTTTACACGATTTTACAGCAAAATAAACCACTGAGCATAAACTTACCCATACTGGGACAGTACAGCGCAGACCAGTAGGCTAAGCTTGACCAGCATGTGTTTGGACATAGCCATTACCTTCGAATTGGGGGGACTCGTAAGCACATATTGAGTGACAAAAATAACTCGGAGCCAAATAAAGAACGCTACAGAGGGAGGCAGCAGCCAGCAAGCAGCACCACAGACCAGTCTGAAGTGGATAGAAAGTTATTAATTTCATATGAATCACATGATACTCCGATCTTCACAGAGGCATGCGCTGAAATTCCAGAGGAACCCAGCTTCCGCTAGAATTCCTTTCTGGAATTTAACACGAAAAGCTCTCGCTCAAAAACTTTTGGATCCCGTTGCGAATGCGCTGGCGTGAATTTAGGTGGCGACAACAAAATATATTAATAACTTAGTCATGTCGGCAATAAAGGGCGAATGTGGCACGAGGATAATTTGGAAAGAAGATGTTTAAATACTCTTTTAATGTTATTTCGTTTCGTCATTCTGATTACAAATTGATTGAACTTTCAAAGAAAAAAGGTGAGCATTAGTTCACTTTGTTTGGAAGCAAGAATTTTATTCACAGTTAAGCGCCTGGGTTGTGATTAATTAATCAGAATCATTCGCTTCGCTCACTCGGTGATTTATTCGGTGGTTATACACATGAATCAGGCAATATATCGCCATATACACCGATATGAAAAGACTGGACATTAAGATATAGTGAAATACTAAGTAGTCCTCATATATTTTCACGTAATCAGGAATCTAGAACTATAAATTGTTTTCACACGTACACACACATAATCCGTGATACTTTATGTTTATTGTAATTAAGGAAATTATAAGATAGTCGTGTTGTAACCAAAATATAGCTAAAAATTCTCCTGAAAATACACACACCTGATATAATTGTGTTAACAAGTGCTTTTAATTCATCGCACTTGTTGCTTAGCTTGAATTCGTCGCACTTGGCTAGCCAATGAAATAACGCCCTCGTGATGGGGGCTCCTGATTGGCTAATCCCTTTTGCTATGTGGTATTATACTATTAGGTTTTATCAGCCAATTTGTTACCTTTGTTACACGTTTTGACAGGTTTGTTTGTTTATTTATTTATTTAACCAGGAAATATATGTCGCCTATTGGCGGTTTTCAAAGATTCCTGGGGGCTAGGTGTACTGATGGTTTGGAATTTTGGAGCAAAGCTAACGACTGAATATCAATTATCGGTGGAAAAATATTGCATATTATGCCCCCTTAAATGAAGTTCTATGTCAGTTATCTACAATTCAGACTTTTTAAAATCAGTTCAAAAGTCGATCCAGATTAGTTTGCGACCACCGGCTATTTGTAATCGGGATTGTTGTAGTTCTATGTTTGAAAAAAAATAGGGGTAGAGTCAGCCAGTGTTCTGGATAGTCTCCGCGTATCCAAGAACGTAGATATTGGCACAAGGCACGGTTCTGGATAATGTTCTTAGCACCATTTTCGAAAAAGCATGATTCCTGATACAGCAAGTCCTTAGCAACATCGTATTTCTGCAATTCCTTTCACTTACACCCCTCCCGTATCCTAATGGTTTGTTCCGCCGAGGTCAACACCCTGGAAGGTTCAAAGGTCAAAAGAGTGTGTCAGGTGCAGGTGGGCGGTGCGAGTTTCAGCCTTGTACAGGAAAATATCACGTCGTTTGGTGAGTTTCTGTTGCTATATAATCTATTTAGCTCTGCCGCTATTATTTCAGCATTAAGAGTATTCGCTGTATTTTGCTGTGCTAGAAAGAATTGACTTGCATTTTCGCTAAGAACACACACGAATAATTCGAAGTCCACCAATCTATTCCGTACTATATCGTGATTTTACCAGTGGGTGTACATTTTGTGATCCCTATACGCCCCTACGAATCCCCGTGAGTGTGTGGCTGATCTCATGACATCTTCTCAGCTACAAGCATTTATCAGACGTGTTCGTGTTGTCTCTTACAGCCCGTTACATAGATACTGCTGAGGTATGTCTGACACGCTGCAGAACGGCCCCGGGCCGCTAGGGTTTGTCATCAGAAGGGCCAGGCCTGAAGACTGCGGAGATATAGTCAGGATGATAAAGGTATATAAACCGTGATACGCATTTTTCTTTCATTTCCACACTATGATAAGTACTTTTAGCTTGAAAGTTCATCTGTGTTAGTAGAAGTTGTTAGAAAAAGTTTGCCACCTTACATGTTGCTAAAATGTTCTGTCTTGTCCTCTGGTCCTGTCCTGTCCTGTCTTGCCTTGTCTCTAGTTGGGTTGCCCTGGCTGTGAGCGTTGAACAGGCAAACCAATGAATAAATAGACGTTATTCTGATATATGGTTGAGCTGTAATTTCCAACACCAAAAATCGGACTTGCCCAAACTTCCGTCTGTTCCAACGTTTCAACATGTGAATAAACTTGACGTTCTTTTGCCTGCGGTTTGTATGGCCTGTGCCGTATCTAAATTTTTGTTGTCTCTTGTTGTATTCCAGGAGCTGGCAAAGCATGACGGGTTAGGACATAAAGTCGCTATCACAGAAGAAAGTAGGTGTCTGCAGAGCACTTGCAATTTGATTACATTTGCTAGTAACAAAGGATGTTGACTAAATTCTTTACAACGTGCAATTCATATGTTTACCTTAGTGACCTGTTTTACCTGTAAATCACCTACTTGATGCCGATATTTAACATTTTCCCCTGATTTTTCCTGCACAGAGTTAAGGGAGGACGGTTTTGGAGAAATTCCATATTTTCACTGTTTTGTAGCTGAAACCACACCAGACTCAACATCAGGTACACAGCATTTATTTTCAATTATTTGTGCATCTGTAACAAACATTTCTACTTCTGTTTAATTTAACAACGGAAAATTACATCAAAATTATAATCGTAAAAACAACAACACGTACTCGGTACACATTACCTATATCATTCTGTCTTCCACAAAGCCATTACTGTTAAGAAGTTCAACATAAATTACAACAAAACATATGTTCAATTCATAGTTCATAATATCTGGATTATTCTGGAGTCTACATACTTGTGCATGTGTTACCAACTTTCAGAGACACCCAGTCTTGCTGGATACCTCATGTATTTCTATATGTACGATTCGTTCAACGGACGGTTCTTGTACGTGGAAGATTTCTATGTTTCGCCGGCTCAGAGGGGTAAGACATGGAACTTGACAGAACCTTGCATAAACCAATGTTTCTGAGGATGCGTCTAGATCCATCCTATACTCTTATAATTCATTGCAATCTTAGCCTGTATGCCTAATCTTAAAGCAGATCTTTCGGTGGCTGTCATACAGTTTTAAATTGGCAAGACAGTATCAAACTGGCTAGGCACTGTCCAATACACCACCCCAAGTCTGGCTGGTAAAAAAATTTGTACATGGTACAAAAAAGCCCTATAAAAACGCCTAAAACGCGTCAAGCATTACCCTAGCCTAAACTATGGCTTGGACAGTACTTTATGCCAGGCTTTTTTCTAACGTAAGTACGCCCTAAAAGAGAAAAACTGGCTGGCTTCCTGGCTCTTAAATCATTGAAATAACGACCAATGGGTAGAAAAACGCCAACTGCATGAAGAAATTTCTTGCTCTAATTCAATTTCCACTCTTACAGAATCAACGCAAATCGTAGGCTATGCCATGTACTTCTTCATGTATTGCACTTTCATGGGAAGGGTGATCTTTTTAGAAGACTTCTACGTTTATCCGCAATTTCGTGGTGAGAATTAATCAAAACGTTGTGTGCATGTGATGATGTACATTGTATGTCTAGACTATATTTGTTGGTTTTGATTTGTGCTGTGATCGCTATTCTAATCAGAAGATCTAATTGTACTCCTGTGGGTTTTTCTCAGTCATACGATCGGCTATTCTTCGGATAACCGTGCGTGCATGTGTCGAACAAAATCTAGCTGTCTTATCACGAAAAAGATATTTCTAATACTAACTACAAACTTCTTTATCTATCCCATCGCTTCAGGCTCTGGAATTGGTACAGAACTCATGAAAAAAGTTGCTCAGGTAATTGAAAGATTTGAAATCTTTTAATGATTTCATAGACTTATATGCGTACATAAGCGTGCCATTTTACATCTTGCTTTTCCTTAATCATAGTAAATAAAAATTAATCATTTTGCAACGGTATACCTATAGTTGAAGCAATAATTAGTACTCTTACTGGAACACTTTTCTACCAAATACGGTATGAAATACTTAGACACAAGGGTGTTACGTATAAGAAAATAACAAATTAAATATCCAATTCGGCAGGTCGGAGTTGAAACAAAGTGCACCAAGTGTGAGTTTATCGTCCATGACGAGAACAGCAGTGCCAGACGCTTCTATGAGAAACTGGGCGCGGTGAACAGCACTGTGGAAGGCGACTGGAGAAGGTTCTTCTGGTACAAATTCGACGTACCATCTATGGAACAACTAGCCAATAAAGGCTCCTAACTCGTTGCAATGGGTGATGATTACAGCTTTTTATTTGATCATCCTGCTTGTACAGTAAACAAGGAATTGTTTATCAAGGAACAGCCACTGGATGGCAAGTAAGCTACTTAGAGCGTCTAACAGTGTTCAAAATGTTTCACGTTGCTTGAGTACCTTTATTACTAGTATTGTATATCTCACTACCTGGATGCTTCATCGATAGGTCAGAAAGTGATTTAGTCTTTATTTACATTTTTTACTGGATATTCTATTTTACGTAACTATCAGAAACAGGACAACGTTTTAATCAAATGTTCGTGGATTGTTTTGCTGGATTTGTGTAGGATATGAAGAAATCAAGTACAGTCATGTGCTCTGATTGAAATATCGATTACTTATTATATATGATATACAACTTTCAAGAGTCGTAGGAAGACAAAGGTTTTTACACAATTAATCAACGGATTAGAACTAGTGTGTTTGGAAATCTCTCGTTTCTTGTTATGTCCGTGTTGGTGTCGTATTTACACTTTTCGGGTGAGTGTAACATACCCCGGACCGTCATTAGCCCCACCTTCACCGCTAGCGTCTGAACCTGCGTTATAAGAGCCACCCCCGCCCCCACAGGCACCAGGCGTATTATCTCCCCTGCCCCCTCCTGAGTACCCACCACCTCCTCCTCCCCCACCACCCCAACCAAGACTCCCTCCCCCTCCTCCAAACCCACCCTCTGCGTTGTGGCACACACCCCTACCACCGACTCCTCCGATCACGAACGCTTTCCCACCTTCACCGCCGTCATACCCATCGGTGCCACCGAAGTTCGTTTTCCCGCTCGCGCCGTCCGTTAAGAGCCCCCCGCCTCCCCCACCGACATCGTCATCATCCCCGTGCGTGGCGCCTTTCCCGTCAGAACCACCGGTAAAATCGTCACCACCTGAGCTGGCCTGTCCAGCTGCTGCTGTTGTACCGTCACTGTTGGGGTTTCTGCTGTTCATGTAATTCCCACCCCCTGCTCCCCCGGCCACGAGCAGCGGCGTGTTGTCCCTCTTGGTGACGAAAGTCCCGCCTCCACCACCGACGCCACCGGCAAACCTATTCTCCAATCCCTCCTGGCCAACAAGTATCTTCAGCACCTCACCTAAGAATCGCAATGACAAGAATTTTCCCATATTTTACCTTGTTTGTCTGGAGGCTAAATTCGACTTGTTACACCTCATAACGAGGCAGATTGATGATTTCTATGTCATATGTGTCTAAGCTGTTAAGTGTGAAGGTATCAACCACATAATCAGCTATCAAAAATGGTTAAATCTGACACATATATGATGCAATATAGTGTTTATGCATACTATCCTACCTTTCTTTAGTTGAAAGGTTCCCCTGACCACCGCACCGCGGCCTCTGGCGGACTTCGCGTCGCTCGTACCCCAACCTGCAGCAGACCCTGCGCCAAACAAGTGTGAAAACATTACCTTGCAACACATTTTCTCCAATATTCATGAGAAATAGATATTGCGTGATCTGTCTTTGGCACCTGTGACGTAAGTCGTACGATTGTCTCATTATCCTGAAATGCATGTGTCCTAAAATAACTATCTGTCTTGCTACACAAAAAGGCTTTTTGAGATCATAGTCAGTGGTTGGTTCTCTCATAGCCTGCCTGAAAATTCTAAACATTCTAAACATACGAAAAACACCGTTATCTGTCGATATACTCACAAACAGGTACTGAAACTTGAAGTATGTATTGATGAGTGCCTCCGTACCTGCCGCCTCTATCCTGTACTGCCCGCTGTCCGGCACAGTGAAGTACTGAATCCCGTCCTTCAGCTGCACCAGCCCCTCGTGGTCCTGTCCACCGTAGTGCGTCCCCAGGCTGGTCGGGCCCAGGCGGCCGGTGGTACCGAGGGTTGTGAGACGGGCCGTACGGAAACCCGATCCTGAGTCTTTGTGGTACATATGTAGAAAAAATTAAACTTAGATTAAGTGGTCAAAACCTGCACATTTATATAGTATAGTATAATATAATTGCCAATATTGGCTTTGTAAACAATTGTCGGTTTGGAACAACAAAACAACAGTATTGTGTCATAGGCTGGGCTGCAAGATTTTATTGATTACCTCTACATAAGAGGGCTCCATCTTTAACACTGGACATATGTGAACCTCTTTATACTACCATTTTATAGTTATGGCTCAAGTACAACATACAGGTTTTTATAGTGCCTTATGTGTCTAATACAGGTAAAAATTCAAAGTGTTACATTACACATCATACCTTCATTTGTCTTCACATCTCCCAGATGTGGTTTGGTCATAGCTGACGTCTTGTCCTCTTCAAAAGCGATGTAGGCCTTAGCTGGTAACTCTTTTGTCATGTCGGCGATCTCTAACCCTAACAGTTTCTTCAGTCTACTGTTCACTTCGCCGCTGACCGCCATGATCTCAAACTCCGACCCGTGTTCCACGATGTTCCGCCCGAACTCCGCCGCGCTCTCTAACGCCACAGTCGCTGTCTCGATCTCATCTATAGCGGTGGAGAACTCCTTACTCCGGGTTTGGCTCACCGTGTTTACAGAGTTCAGTAAGTCGGCCTCTTGTTCGTTGACCAACGCCACCAACTGCCTCCTGGTTTCCTCTGCTTTTCTCTTGATTTTTTCGACAGTTTCGGTGACATTTTTCTCCAGCTGTGTCTTCTGTGCTTGCGCCTGTTGGCCGGCATTTTTAAAATCGCTCACCTTCTTCTCGGCTTTCGCAAGAAGAGCGCCTATCTCTCCTTTTGCTTTCACGGCCGTGTCGGTGAAATACTCGTACTTGTGGTCCTTGTGTGACAGCACTGTGCACAGCTGACAGATAGCCTCGCTGCAGTCGACGCAGAACAGCTTCAGGGTCTCCTGTGAGTGGAGCCTGCACGGCGGCAGGAGACGAGGCTTGATGTTTACCGCCTCGGATTCGGCTGATCTGAGCTGCTCGACGCCGATCACCTGGTGACCTTTGGCGAGCTTTATACGGCGATGAATTGCCACACATTCGTCACACAGAAAGTCGCCACATTCCGTGCAGAATGACTCCGCCCCTGACTTGGCCTCACAGCTGCCGCAGACGAGACTTTCTCCTTCATTAGCGAGCTTCTTGTGGACGTCTACGGTGTCCCTCAGGCTCTCCACGAAGAAATTATCTTTCAGTTCGGCCACACCGCCACCCGGAAGTACAGTCGTGTTGCGACAGGTGGGGCAATCTAGCTCGGTTTTGACCTTCTGTTTCTTGAGAACCTCTTCAAGACACTGCTGACAGAAGGAATGAAGGCAGGACAGCACCTTGGGCCGGCGGTAAGGCTGCAGACAGATCTGACACTCGAGGAAGTCTTCGGAAAGTCGACTCAGAAGTTTCGACTCCGCCATGTTGAATGTTCGAGAGGGCCAAAGTTCAAACAAATAATAGCCTGCATCTGAGGCTTTTTTGAGGGGTATGGATAGTAAAATTCGGCAAAAATATTGCCATTAATTGGCCAGGGAAGTTGGCCTCGATATGGATGACTTTCTAATTAAGTGCTTGGGTTTAATTAATCAGAATCATTAGCTTCGCTAACTCAGTGGTTGTACAAACGAAGCATGTAATATGTCGCCATTTACTCCGAGGAAAAGAATGAACACTAACAAATAGTCAAACTGTCCTTATAGAGTTTAATGTAATAAAGAGTGACATGCATGACTGTGGGGATGAGTGTCTGCAGACTTGTTGGCTAGCTAATATAATGATCATAAAATAACGCCCTCCTGAATGGTCAATCCCGTTTCGCTATATGATGATATGATTAATGTGGAACTGATAGGATGTAGGGCGATCAAATTAAAAGCTGCAATCATCATCCATTGCAACTGGGCTGCACAGAAATCGGGCCGGGTAACTCTGTGTGTGTTTCTTTGTGTGTGTGCGTGTGTGCACGCGCGCGTGATCTTGAATGCCCTTTAAATCCCTTGCTGTATCCAGAATCGTGCCATGCTCGGGCAAGGTTTCTGGATGCATGTTTCTGGATAGTGCACGTGTATCCTGAACCGGTATTTGTTCAAACTGTTCTCTTCACAATGAAGAGAGTATAAACAAGGACATCATATAGGATGTCCTTGGTATAAACAGCTCAAAGTATCGAAATTCGCCGTCTCATCTGCCACTTCTATGCATCATAATAAAAATTCGACATTTTGTTTCTTACAGGTTGTTATGTAGTCCCCACCAGCAGGCTCGAATAACGCGGGCAGTTTGATGATAAGACTTTGCCAAATTGGAGTAGAATAATTTACAAGGGACTCGGCCACCATCGAGTTCATTTGCCAGTACAATATTATCCATACCGCGGCCCACTTCCCCACCCAATTATTGGCCATTGTTCTGCGGAATTTAACAATCCATAGCCCCTCAAAAAGCCTCAGGTGGAGGCTGTTGTTGGTTTGAACTTTGGCCTTCTCGAACATTCAACATGGCGGAATCGAAACTTCTGAATCGTCTCTCCGAAGACTTCCTCGAGTGTCAGATCTGTCTGCAGCCTTACCGCCGGCCCAAGGTGCTGTCCTGCCTTCATTTCTTCTGCCAGCAGTGTCTTGAAGAGTTTCTCAAGAAACAGAAGGTCAAAACCGAGCTAGATTGCCCCACCTGTCGCAACAAGACTGTACTTCCGGATGGCGGTGTGGCCGAACTGAAAGATAATTTCTTCGTGGAGAGCCTGAGGGACACCGTAGACGTCCACAAGAAGCTCGCTAATGAAGGAGAAAGTCTCGTCTGCGGCAGCTGTGAGGCCAAGTCAGGGGCGGAGTCATTCTGCACGGAATGTGGCGACTTTCTGTGTGACGAATGTGTGGCAATTCATCGCCGTATAAAGGTCACCAAAGGTCACCAGGTGATCGGCGTCGAGCAGCTCAGATCAGCCGAATCCGAGGCGGTAAACATCAAGCCTCGCCCCCTGCCGCCGTGCAGGCACCACTCACAGGAGACCCTGAAGCTGTTCTGCGTCGACTGCAGCGAGGCTATCTGTCAGCTGTGCACAGTGCTGTCACACAAGGACCACAAGTACGAGTATTTCGCCGACACTGCCGGGAAAGCAAAGGGAGAGATAGGCGCTCTTCTTGCGAAAGCCGAGAAGAAGGTGACCGATCTTAAAAATGCCGGCCAACAGGCGCACGCACAGAAGACACAGCTGGAGAAAAATGTCACCGAAACTGTCGAAAACATCAAGAGAAAAGCAGAGGAAACCAGGAGGCAGTTGGTAGCGATGGTCAACAAACAAGAGGCCGACTTACTGAACTCTGTAAACACGGTGAGCCAAACCCGGAGTAAGGAGTTCTCCACCGCTATAGATGAGATCGAGACAGCGACTGTGGCGTTAGAGAGCGCTGCGGAGTTCGGGCGGAACATCGTGGAACACGGGTCGGAGTTTGAGATCATGGCGGTCAGCGGCGAAGTGAACAGTAGACTGAAGAAACTGTTAGGGTTAGAGATCGCCGACATGACAGAAGACTTACCTGCCAAGGCCTACATCGCTTTTGAAGAGGACAAGACGTCAGCTATGGCTAAACCACATCTGGGAGATGTGAAGACAAGTAAAGAAGGTATGATGTGTAATGTAATGAAAAATTGATACGTGCATTTTTAATTAGATACAGAATGCGATATTTAAACCTGTATGGAAGTCTTACATGTATGTCATACTTGGTAGTACACTGTATAAGGAGATTCACAACTAAGACTGCACATGCTCGATGTAAAGGACGGGGCCCCCTTCGAAGTCAACGAAACACGTCAGACAATGCTTTATACATGTCCAGACGTTTTTGTTTACGTCTCTGTGGCCTTCAACTTTGACACAGTAGCGATTATACATCATATTTCGCATGCACGGTCTTTTTTGACCCTGTTCTTTGATTGAAAAAAAATCTAATCTTGCAGCACTACCCATGACACAACACAGAGGGCTTGTTGCTTAAAATCTGACATTGTCAAGAAAGCTAATATCCACAACAATATTATGTATATACTATGGGCAAGTTTTGATGTTTTTTTTTTCGCGTATGTACCATAAGACTCAGGTTTCCGTACGGCCCGTCTCACAACCCTCGGTACCACCGGCCGCCTGGGCCCGACCAGCCTGGGGACGCACTACGGTGGGCAGGACCACGAGGGGCTGGTGCAGCTGAAGGACGGGATTCAGTACTTCACTGTGCCGGACAGCGGGCAGTACAGGATAGAGGCGGCAGGTACGGAGCCACTTATCAATACATACTTCAAGTTTCAGTACCTGTTTTTGACCTAAGCGATAGCTTATGGTATTGTCACATTCTTCTCAATTGAACGTTTATTGCGTTCTTGCCCGTAGGCTAATTGGAAGTACATGTAACATGAGTCCCAAAGACATAACATGCTGCATCTCTTTCTCATTAATCTGGAGAAAATCTGTTGCAAGGCAATGATCATTTCAAATTGTCCGGCGCAGGGTCTGCTGCAGGTTGGGGTAGGCTCGATAAGAAGTCCGCCAGAGGCCGCGGTGCGGTGGTCAGGGGGACCTTTCAACTCAAGAAAGGTAGGATACTAGTAGTAAGCATAAATTCTGTTTTAATTTACTGTATCATACTGAGCCATTTTGACTAACTTATTATGTGGTTGATACCTTCACACTTTTTAAAACAAGCTTACGTATGACCCAGAGGCCATTCCAATCAGTCTTCCTGGTTATATGAGGTGTAACAAGTGAATGTTAGCCTCCAAAACTAAACAAACCAAAATATAGGGAAATTCTTGTCATTGTGATTCTTAGGTGAGGTGCTAAAGATACTTGTTGGCCAGGAGGGATTGGAGAACAAGTCTAACAGTGGCGTCGGTGGTGGAGGCGGGACTTTCGTCACCAAAAGGGACAACACGCCGCTGCTCGTGGCCGGGGGAGCAGGGGGAGGGGATTACACAAAGGACAACAGGAACCCCAACAGTGACGGTACAACAGCAGCAGCTGGACAGTCCAGCTCAGGTGGTAAAGACAATTTTACCGGCGGTTCTGACGGGAAAGGCGCCACTCACGGGGATGATGACCATGTCGGTGGGGGAGGCGGGGGGCTCTTAACGGACGGCGCGAGCGGCAAAACGCACTTCGGTGGCACTGATGGGGGTTATGGCGGTGAGGGTGGGAAAGCGTTCGTGAACGGAGGAGTCGGTGGTAGGGGTGTGAACAACAACGCAGAGGGTGGGTTTGGAGGAGGGGGAGGGAGTTATGGTGCTAGTTGTGGGGGAGGAGGAGGGGGTGGGTACTCCGGAGGAGGTAGGGGAGATGATGAGTGGGGTGCCTGTGCGGGCGGGGGTGGCTCTTATAACGCAGGTTCGGACGCTAGCGGGGAGGGTGGGGCTAATGACGGTCCGGGGTATGTTACACTCACCCGAACTGTGTGAATACGGCACCAACACGGACATGACAAGAAACGACAGATTGATACACGTTGATAAATTGTGTAAAATCTTTATCTTCCTACGACCTATGAAAATTATTGTTTAGATTTTTTTTATCTTCCGACGAATTAAAGTTATTGTGCGAAAATTTTTATCTCCCTATACGACCTATGGAAGTTGTATATCATAGATAACGGACGGCGCGAGCGGGAAAGTGAACTTCGGCGGCACTGATGGGTGTTATGGCAGTGAAGGTGGGAAAGCGTTCGTGAACGGAGGAGTCGGTGGTAGGGGTGTGTACAGCAACGCAGAGGGTGGGTTTGGAGGAGGGGGAGGGAGTGGTGGTTATGGAGGTGGGGGGAGGAGGAGGGGGTGGGTACTCAGGAGGGTGGCTCTTATTACGCAGGTTCAGACGCTAGCGGCGAGGGTGGGGCTAATGACGGTCCGGGGTATGTTACACTCACCCGAACTGTGTAAATACATGTACACCAACATGGACATAACAAGAGATTGATACACGTTGACAAATTGTGTAAAATCTTTATCTTCCTACGGCCTATCAAAATTATTGTTTAGATTTTTATCTTCCGACGAATTAAAGTTATTGTGCGAAAAGTTTTATCTCCCTACGACCTATGAAAGTTGTATATCATAGATGATGATAAATTGTCTATATTTCAATCAGAGCACAATGTACTTGATTTCTACATATCCTACGCAAATCCAGCAAAACAATCCTCGGGCATTTCCGTCAAACGTAGCCCTGTTTCTGATATTTACGTAAAATAGCACATACAGTAAAAGATGTAAAATTCAATCTGTAATATATAGTGTAATAAATACTTGTGGCTAAACCTCTGAAATTCTAAAAGAAAACAAAAGAGACTACAGACGTCAGATAGAAATACTGTAGGCTGCCTTGAGGGATATCTGTACTTCCTTAGGTGGTCACAGGTTAAACGGGGGGTGAATACGATTGGACGTCGAAGTCGTAATAGTAGGAAGCGGACTTTTGTAACCAGATCAATGATATTTCTATATATTGCTGTAATTGACTGTGTAAACTTTGTTGTGCGTGTGTGTTCACACATTCATTGTATACGTATGGGGAGGGCAATTTGTAAAGATGCGTATGCACCTGTTTTGCCCTCCCTTTCATTTTGTGGAAAATTCAAATAAACAAATATTAGGTGAACCGTTATGGCGCTATTGCACAGAAATTTCAAACAGCTTCGTTCTTCCATAGTGTTACCTTCCGCGTATCATTGACACAAATAAAGACTCAATCATATAACATTGACTGAGGAATTATCTGTTTTCCTATCAAAACAGTGTACAAAGTAGGCCAATGAAGGTTAGACATCCAGGTGATAAGATACACAATGAAAATGGTGCTGGTTATACGCAGCTGGATAAATTTTGAAACCTGACAATCATTTCAAGTACCATCCACTACTACTACATACACACGCGCACGGACACACACACACGCGCGCGTGCACATACACATATACACACATACACACACAAGCACACACACGCACACACACACAAATTCACTCATGTGCACACATACATACACGCGCACGCGTGCACACATATACATTCACACACACAAACACACCACGCACGCACCCACTCACACACACGCACACACACACACTGACAGACAGACACACACTGACACAGTTCCCCGGTCCTATATCTGTTCAATCGGGGCTTTCCGACATGTAATACCACCCAGAACAATAGCCTGCCATGTCGTCCATTGGTCCTGTGGAAACCTGACACCCGCTTATACACACGTCACGGCCCGCGAAGAAAGGCCGTCTAGTCTTCTCCACATGTGACAAACAAACCCAGCTATGCGGGGGTGACGACCACACCGCCCGCCTAACACACCTGTCTTCGTGCGGTAAGTACCGACGCTTCCTTCTACTTTTATCTTATCTCAAACTGTGAGAAGTTGAAGAGTATTAGAAGCTAACGCCTTCCATTTTGGACTACATTTTTTTCCTACAGTTAAGGTAATTATGGCGGCAGGTAGACATGTTTGAGCAGGTGGATTTAGACTGCGCCATAACAAGGAAGTAAATTCCTTCAAAAGTCAAGGTAGCTTCTGCATGTGGCAGAAAGGTTCTGATATGCATGGTGTATACGCTGTATATAAACTCAAACACCCGTACATGGATTTAAAATTATATGTAGATTTAGGATTATAAAGACGTGACCTTTAAATTAGACATGTACACGTATACGTGAACCTGTGTAAGGATGCTTCCAGATGACGGTAGGAAATTTTCCCTCTTGCTTTGATTTGAGACTTGGTACGACAGTGTTCTCTCTGCAAAATAAAAGTATGAATGTTGAACTCATGAGCTTTAGTGAAACTTTGAACATAATTATCCCTGTAAATTCATGTCCAAGACAGTTAAGAACAACACCCAATCCGTCATCCTAGTCTTAAGGTGGATGGTTACAGAATTAGGTGTTGATTATATTGAGAAAATCTACGTATAACTCCTCTCAAAACGTAATCTACAGTGTTAACGTGTAAAACAATGTTTTAAAATGCCTTAATTAACGATCTCTTCCACATTATATAAAGTGCGCCAGACGTGTTTTTCTCGTCGATCGTTTCCTTCTTGGTATCGGGTTTCTTTCCTTGAACCCATTTGCATACGTGCACAATAGACCGGATCGGGCACAAAGACTGTGCGGACTTTGACCTTGTAACGTGAGAACTATTGATGAAGTCGGTAGACATGTTTACAGCTAATATGTTAAGACGTTACCATTGTGATATCGCGTGTTGAGAGTTTAGTGTGATTTATCGCAATTGTGGAAGGGTTTACAGAGCCCCCTACACCCCAACACAAGGACGGGTTAACATAACAGGTGGCTATCTCCTTTTCAAGATGTCAACCCGGAGACCAGACTGTAAGGTTTGTTTGAACCACTCACACCGGGAAGGGCCCCTACCCTATTTGTAAGTGTTATGGATTTTCTTAACGTGCTTGAGGTGTGGCTATCCTCAAACACGGGGCCTCTGACTTTACTGCACATCCGAGAGGACGTCCATAACCGAAGCTAATCTCCAAGCAGATCTTTTGGTGGCCAAAAAAGATAGTATCCAACACGCGGACAGTATCCAGCCGGCCGACAGTATCCAACCGCCCACCAAAGTTGGATGGGCCGGCTGTCAGAAAAAAACGGGGCATAGAAAAAGGTCACAATCTTCCCATTCAACCTCTGCTTGGAGAGTGAACCGAAGCTATTTATTCATTTTCACCTGAGTAGAGTGAGGAAACAGGTGTAACGTGCATTTCTAAGGGCATGCACACTGCTACCTGCCAGGGATTCGGACCCAGAACCTTCAGATTCTGAATCAACTGCCCTATACTATTACATGTATGCTAACCATATTTTCAGAACACCTTGTCGTCTGTAGAATGGTTGTCATGACTTGCATATTCAGCCAGGTACACGTAACGTCTGGGTCGTGACAATGTCATTACGTTCTTTGCACGCAACATTTTCTCTCAACAGGAAACAAGCGGACGTTGACCTCATTCGTGTTTAACTTAATGTTTACAGTGTACACAGTCTCCGGTTTTCCCAGAAAAAGTACAAAAGCTTTGTAAGCTGGTAACACCGTGGTCAACTGTGATACACTAGTATGCCGCTGCACGTACTGAGCCAGTATGTTACACCGGGCGCAGTACAACTTTACGGCATCGGAATTTCTACAGTAACTGTGTACGGCGAAAGAATAAGGTGTACTAGCTTCATGTTAATATTTACAGTCTCCGTCGCTTTTCCCAGAAAAAGTACAAAGGCTCCGTCTGTAAGCTAACAACACTGTGTTCAGTCGTGATATCGCTGCATGTAACTATTAGCTATAGTATATTGCACCCAAAGCGCAGTACAAGTCTACCGCGTTACAAATTCTCCTGTATGCGGCAAAAGAATCAGGTTTTTCTAGGTAACTAAGATGAACTTTCATGATAGGTTTTACTACTAAGGGTTTCTGTGCGTTGGAGGCCGTTCTAGGCAGAAATGGTAGGTGTCTTTTTCGCTCACTGCTACAGCGCCAGGTATCAAAAACTAGCAAAACAAACCATACCATGCCGGAGCGGAAGGTTGTATAATTATTGTACTATGAGTACTTTAGGGCCCACTTTTAGCTTCATTTCTAGCTTATAACTAACGTTTAGATTACTGCAAGTTTACTTATCTTTTTTTGTTGTTGATTTCACAGTTTGACGCGCCAACAGAGACAAGATGAGGTACAAGAACGCCATTGTGTACACTGCTGTGCTGGTACTACTTATACTAGCGCCAGGTAAGGATAGAATTTATTTCAACAAGACCTTGTGCATTTGATAGAAACGTGAGAAATATGAGAAGGAAATTCAGTCCAATCAAGCGTAGCACCAAACATATTAGTCCATATGAAATGTTTTTTCGATTTGTTGGTTTCTTTTTAATATGTGTTTGTTTGTTTGTTTGTTTGTTTGTTTGTTTGAATCATTCTTAAGCTCAAATGCAAGCCGCTTTTAATTGAGATCGTGTTTACGTTCACAAATCTACATCATTCAAATTAAATTTGTTCTCTGTGTTGTCTTTCTTTATTTTTTTACCAAAAATATTAACTTTCACACAGTTTTCTGTGACGAAGACGACAGTGACGAAAGCAGATCACATGAAGACTCTGACAGTGACGAGAGCTTCAGTTCGCCTGAAGAACCCGACAGCCGCGGCGGCAGTTCGGAAGAAAATCGCCCGGGGGCGCTGTTGATCTGGGCGGAACAGAAGATCGGCTCCGGCGGCCCGTGGTTCTACGGTCCGACCGTCATCTCCTCGTACCTGCGGTCCCTCCCGGCGGGGGCGGCAGGAGCGGACACGGACCCCACCGAGCTTCTCACTCTCACACCGCCCAGGTAAGGAGTGCCATCGCTAGCCATGTCACCAGAAGTATTGTTTTTGAATTGATAGTCTGTTAGTGTGTGTGCGTGTGTGTGTGTTTCTCTCTGTATGCATGTATGTGTGTGTGTGCGTGCGTGTGCGTGTCTCTGTGTGTGCGTCTCCCTCTGTCTCTCTCTCTAATTCTCTCTGTGTGTTGGTGTGTGTGTGTGTGTGCATGAATGTGTGTTTGTGTGTGTGCATGTGTGTGTGTGTCACTTGTGTGTGTGTGTGACAGTATTTGTGTGTGTATCTGTGTGTGTGTGTCACAGAATTTGTGTGTGTGTGTGTGTGACAGTATTTGTGTGTGTATCTGTGTCTGTGTGTCACAGTATTTGTGTGTGTGTGTGTGATGTGGTGTGTGTGTGTGGTGTGGTGCGTGTGTGTGATGTGTGTGTGTGTGTGTGTCTGTGTGTGTGTGTGTGTGTGTGTGTGTGTGTGTGTCACAGTACACAGTATTTGTGTGTGTCATAGTATCTGTGTGTGTGCGTGTATTATAATGTCTTGCCCGCAATTTGGTTTCAATGAAGCGATGGGGTTGTGAGCTTGGTGTTTCCTTGGGGTCATGATTTCAGTTGTTTTATCAAAGTTGTTTTATCATTATTGGAATCTAATTCTGCATAGGTCCATCCGAGTGGTGACGGGAAACCACAACCAGAGCGTGGTGCTGTGGAGCGAAGTGGCCCAGAACATCGCCAAGACCACCATGGAAGAGGTATGTAGAAAAGTTTTCTACAAAAAAAGCACCGATTTTATACTAATTATAGCCCAGCACTTTTTTCAAACATATATAAGATCTTACTCGGCATTTCAGCAGTCGGACCACAAAGTCAGAACGTTAACGCTGTCAGGGTTTAGCGCCAACGAAAGAATTAACTAGGAAAAGTACACCCCAGTACTAGTAAATACATAATCTCTGCTAAAACAAAAGACTCGAGTCAGATAATCCTAACTAGAATATATTAACACATTCAGCAACCTTTCAAAAGATTTCAAAGAATTTATTGCCGCGACGAAAGTGGCAACTGGAGAGTTCGACATACAAACTTGACAAAAGAGCTAAATAATCAATCTAACATGTATCCTGTTCCTCAGACCGGTCGCCTGACGTCCCCCACTCGAGTGTTCCTGACGGGAACGTCCGGGCGTGTGGGTGGGCTGGCGGTAGACTGGCTCTCCGGGAACATCTACTGGTCCGACGCCTCGTACAACAGCATCCTGGTGGCCACGGCTGACGGGAACAGGCGGAAGGTATTGGTGCAGACTGGCGCGTTCAGCTCACCGTCTGGACTTGCTGTGCATCCTGTGAGAGGGTAAGAGATGACTATATTTTACCTCTACTTCGGGGAAGATGATTTCCCTTCGCGGAAAGTTAGTGTTTTCGATTCAGCTGTAACTCACGGAGGGTTTGACGGATTCAGTCTCTGATTTTCGGTATATGATTACAGTTATTTGGGGTCTAGATTATGTGTTTTTAAGTCTAATTTGATTGACAGGGTTTTGACCAGTTATGTGGTGACTTGGAATGTATGAAACACAAACCATGGGGTAATAATGGAGTGAGTTTCATCATACAACTATATCGGTAATAATGCATTCCATTATATGTAATTCATTAACACAAACTACCTGTTTATCTAATTTCCGAATGTGCAAAATCTCTGATTTCTGGTTTGTACATGTAGACTGGTGTTCTGGGCTTCCCAAGGCTACCCGGGAATAGGCAGCAAAATCGAACGGACCAGCATGACCGGACAGGACCGGACGTCTCTGGCACACCGGGGGCTGGTGGACCCAAGGGGACTGGCCATAGACTACGTAGATGACAGGTCAGATAATGGAAACACTTACTGATCTTTACTACATACATCTGTGAATAGTTTCATCAGGTCGGTAAATCACTTGATTATCACACACACACACACACACACACACACACACACACACACAGCACTACAAACAATACCTCTGCTGTTAAAAGGAAAGGGGGCTTATAACATTAAAGCATGGCATGTATCCTTCAGACTGTACTGGGCAGACTGTGTGACTGGGAAGATCGAGTCTGTGACGCTGGAGGGAGGAGACAGGACAGTACTTCTCTCTCTACCTGGAACCAGCATCAAGGGGCTGGCCATGTACCAGGTAACGCATCATGTTTCATCTGTATTGCAGTTATCTCTCAGAATACTTTCGGAAGAGAATGGTCAAGACTTATGAAAGCAACAATGATCATTGGAAATTTGATCCTTCTGTACCCTATATACTAGTTTTGCATCATACTACAAATTAAACTAAATAATGACAGATCTGTGGTTTCTCTCTTAAGTGCCAACAAAATTAAGCTTGGAAGTCTAAATGGCCAGCATTGATCCAGGAGAAATATTTGCATAGGTCAGTGTTTTAAACTTTAGATTTCTGCCTACTTACAGGATTTCTTTAATGTATTTCAGGATTACCTGTACTACACAGACTGGGCAGGCCGTAAGGTCCACTGTGTGGAGAAGTCCAACGGCAGGGAAGTCTTCGCTGTAATCGCCAGGACCAGCACAAATCCTGTTGGGATCACCGTCTACAACAGCACAGACCAGATCGCACCTGCCAACAGAGGTATGAATGAATGAATGAATGAATGAATGAATGAATGAATGAATGAATGAATGAATGAATGAGTGAGTGAGTGAGTGAGTGAGTGAATGAATGAATGAATGAATGAATGAATGAATGAATGAATGAATGAATGAATGAATGAATGAATGAATGAATGATATCCCAGTTGACTAATATGGTTCTCACTTCTGGTTTACTATGGAAGTATTGCTTTGGGTGGCTGAGATGTGGGTTTGTGTGTCTATCCTAAGAGCTTTTATTGCTTCTATTGGCTAATATTGTTTTGTGTGGGTTTATGTCTCTACATGCCCTAATAGCTGTAGTTGCATGGTGGGTGGGAGGTGATTTTGACAGTTGATTGATGGGGAGGTCCCACCTGAAGGTGGCCCAGTTTGTACTGGGTGGAAGTAAGTTGGTGGTATGTGAAAGAATTCAGGAAGTGGTGTAATGGAGATAATTTGCATAGTTAGCCAAACATCGCCTGGCTGTTTTTTAAACACCTTTCTTGTTTGTTTTTCTTCCTGTTACCGTGTAGTGTCCTGTATCCAAGGAAACCACAACTGCACCCACCTGTGCCTGACTACCTCCACTGGGTACCAGTGTACCTGTGCCGACGGTTACGAACTTCAGCAGGACAACCGCACCTGTAGACCAGGTGAGAACATTGACAGTCTGTTTAATAGTGCCCGACATGACCATGATTATATCATGGGTTTTTAATAAATTAATGAGTTAGAAGTGAGTAGATGGAGATTTGGGTTCAGTTGATTGACAGGGTGGTATTCCTTGGTTAGTACGATGTGTTGTGGGGTTTCAGGAAGGTATGGAACACCAATGTAGTAATGTAATAGTGGAGTTGTATGACTATGAGCATATTTCACTATGAGTATTACAATTGATTCTTTGTAAGTTAATTTGATTCAGTATTTTCCCATGATCATACAAAACAAACTGTTTCACTTACATTCACAAAAATCTGAAACACTTCTTGGAAGTCTGAAATCTCTGGTTTCTAGTTAAATCTATAGTAAATATTATTATTATATCATTATTACATTATTATATCATTATTCTAAGAATTTCTCAGACAAAAGACTGTGCTGCCTGTTCCCTATTTATCACATATAATAATTGTACTTACCTGTCTTTTTTACCAACCAGTTGAGAAGCCAGGAGACTGCCCAGACCAGAGGACCCTGTGGCCGATATGTAGTGACCAGTGCCAGACGGACGGGCACTGCTCGCATGACCGGAAGTGCTGCTTCAACGGCTGTGGCCACACCTGTGCTGAACCAGGTGAGAGTAAATAAACAAACAAATAAACAAATAAACAACCAGTGACTTAGTGCTAAACAGTGTGGTTACATCTGTGCAGAACCAGGTGAGAATAAAGAAATAAACAAATAAAGCAACAAATAAATCACAGCACTAGGAATTGATATCTGTGAAAATTAATAAGTGTTGTTGACACGAGAGAAATTGGACTCCGAGCATGTAAAGAATAATTTATTTCCCATCTAACAAAGTTGTGGAAAGTTTGACATAACAGGTGGCTATCACCTTTTCAAGATGTCAACCCTGAGACTGGATTCTTAGGTTTGAACTACTCATACCAGAAAGGACCCTTGCTCTTATTTGATAAGTGTGGTGGGTTCTTTAACGCGCTTAAGGTGTGGCTGTCCTTCCTCAAACACAGGACCCCAAGCTTTATGTCCCATTTGAGAGGAAGTTATTAACTGTAGCTACTATAGCTACATACTCATTTTCACCTGAGTCAAGTAATAAGGAAATAGAGGGTACAACACTGATGCCTGAGCTTACTTATATGTCATGTATTAGGGATTTGAAGCCATCCAATCTTTAGATACTGCGTCAAAATCACTTTAAACTACAAGTTAGACCAACTTTTTCTCCTCCCCAGATATTGACCCATGCAGCAGTGCCCAGAACCCGTGTGTGTCTGAGGCTCGCTGTGAGGACCACTTCTGGCTGGGGGCCGTGTGCATCTGTCCTGAGGGACAGGAGGGGGACGGACGGACACAGGGGACAGGATGCCAAGGTACAGAACTGGGCATTTTAATAATCATTAGGATAGATATGGGTAGACTTTATTGTACATTCATGTGCTATCATTCATGAGCAAATCTGAGGCTAAGTACAGGCATACAAATGCAAATACTGTACCTGTCAGCTACTTTGGGGGCTGTGTGTATCTGTCCCAAGGGTTAGGTGGGGGACGGACGGACCCAGGGCACAGGCTGCCAAGGTACAGGACCTATTGTTGGATAGTCAATCAGTACCAACTAGGTTGTGTTAGATAGCCAATCAGTAACAAGGAATAATTGTGCTGGATAGCCAATCAGTAACAAGAAGGATTGTGTTGGATAGCCAATCAGTAACAAGGAATATGTGTTGGATAGCCAATCAGTGATAAGGACGATGTGTTGGATAGCCAATCAGTGATAAGGAGGATGTGCTGGATAGCCAATCAGTGATAAGGACGATGTGTTGGATAGCCAATCAGTACCAAGTAGGATGTGTTGGATAGCCAATCAGGGACAAGGAGGATGTGTTGGATAGCCAATCAGTAACAAGGAGGATGTGTTGGATAGCCTATCAGTAACAAGGAGGATGTGCTGGACAGCCAATCAGTACCAAGTAGGTTGTGTTGGATAACCAATCAGTAACAAGGAGGATGTGTTGGATAGCCAATCAGTAACAAGGAGGATGTGTTGGATAGCCTATCAGTGACAAGGAAGATGTCTTGGATACAGCCAGTAAGTAATGTGAAAAATGTATGTAATGTGAAATGCAATTATAAAAATGAATAATTTTGTTCATCTACCTAGAACCCCGCTGCCCATCCCTGACATCCTGCACAAAGTTCTGCCCACTTGGCTTCAGACTGGATGATGAGGGCTGTCCCATTTGTGAGTGCAGGGGTGAGTAAGATCAACACTGACAGCTTACTACCTCTAAATGGAAGTGTTGTTTTGGGTGGCTGAGCTGTGGGGTTTTTTTTTATTAATTGGTTTCATGGATTTATGAGTATTAGATAGTAAGCACAAATGTGCTTATAAGATCCTCTGCTCAAGAACATAAAACAAAAAAAATATAGGTTGAAATAACAAATACAAAGTGTGTAAGGAACATAATATGAATTTATGAATTAATGAATGAGTGTCCATTGTTTCATGAGCTGTTGTTACCATGGTAACAGGAAGCGACAAGCCAGGCCAGTGCCCTGCAGAAGACGACGATGATGATGACTCGGGACCCTGTTGGTGTCACTGCACCTCCGACCATCATTGCCATGGCAACAAAAAGTGCTGCCGTGTGGGCTGTAGTCTGCAGTGCGTTGACCCCGAGACGGACAGCAGCAGTGAGGATGTCTGCTCGTGTGTTGCCATGGCAACCTGTGGTGACGACGGCTGTCGGTGTGAGCCTGGTTACTTTGGTGACGGGACGCAGGATGGTACTGGATGTACAGGTAATGTTGGAACTACATTTGTACAATTTTCTATAAAAGGATTATTCTGTAAAGTATGATCCAAAAGTTATTGGCAGGATTTGTTTCATAGCCAATCCGAAACAAGAAAGATGTGTTTGATAGTGAATCAGCACCACAGAGGTTGTATTGGATGGCCAATCAGCACCAAGGAAGATGTGTTGTATACTAGTAGCCAATCAGTAACAAGGTAGATACAGCCAATCAGTACCAAGGGGGATGTGTTTGATAGCCAGTCAGTACAGAGGAGGATGTGTCGGATAGCCAATCAGTAACAAGGTAGATATAGCCAATCAGTACCAAGGGGGATGTGTTTGATAGCCAATCAGTACAGAGAAGGATGTGCTGGATAGCCAATCAGTAACAAGGTAGATATAGCCAATCAGTACCAAGGGGGATGTGTTTGATAGCCAATCAGTACAGAGGAGGATGTGTTGGATAGCCAATCAGTAACAAGGTAGATATAGCCAATCAGTACCAAGGGGGATGTGTTTGATAGCCAATCAGTAACAAGGTAGATATGTTGGATAGCCAATCAGTACCAAGGGGAATGTGTTTGATAGCCAATCAGTACAGAGAAGGATGTGTTGTATAGCCAATCAGTAACAAGGTAGATATGTTGGATAGCCAATCAGTACCAAGGGGGATGTGTTTGATAGCCAATCAGTACAGAGGAGGATGTGTTGGATAGCCAATCTTAACTTTAAAAATTGGCAATAGATATAATCATTCTTGAAGTTAATTTCTTTGAATAGAGAAATAATCTGTTTCTACAATGAAGAGATTTTTTAATTTCATGGCATTATAAAATCTAAGCTTCTCACTATCTTCCACAGATATTGATGAGTGTGCTGATGACCCGTTACTATGTGATGATAATGCCATCTGCACCAACACAAACGGGTCATACCATTGCACCTGCAGGGACGGGTTTGTGGGCAGTGGAGTCACCTGTGCAGGTGAGTAGTCAACTATGTGTACCTGTAACACAGTGATATCAACATCATATCATACATTTCCTCTCCACATCTCCAATGCATTCAGAAAAAACACATTAAAACACTTTTCAGGAAGTGTCCATGATATGTTAGTTGCCGAGTTGTTACCATATCACTTCCGCAAATAATTTAATCAGGTTGATGCATGATTGAATAAATACGGTTCTTTTATTCACAACCATTTGTTTTACATGGTTCCCTGTGCACTGGAGCTTGGTGTTTCATAGTGCACTGTGTACTTAAGCTAGGTGTTAAAGACTGTAATAATGCAGTCCCAAGCATAAGCCAATTGTGACCTACGTATACTATAGGTATTGATACAACATTATATAGTGTTACAGTTTAAAATGTTAGCATGACTGCTTGTCTGTTGCAGATGTTGATGAGTGTTTAGCAGGGTCTGCAGACTGCCATGACCACGCCCACTGTCATAACGAGCCTGGGTCTTTCTACTGCACATGTGCAGCTGGATATGAGGGGGATGGCAGGATGTGTGAAGGTGAGGAATAGTCCTGAGTGCTTGAGTAGTTTTCACCGTTAGTAACAGTTTTACAGCAAAAGCAAAAAAGTGAGGGACCGGATGCCAACTCAAATGCCAGAATTGAACACTAACTCTTATTCTTACAATACGTTTTTCTTTAAAATTCCTATTTGCAGGCATCCTTTCATCTCGCAAGGTGCTAGTAAGACTCTTGGTCTGGTGTTGTGCCCATATAACTGTTATACAGAAATCATTAACCGATGTTCAAGATAAACCTTTAAACAGAATTGGTGAAAAAAATGCCCAGGTCAAAAAGCTTTAATTTTTTGTAAGGACAAATTGCAACCTACCATTCCCCACTATTTGCGAGCCTAACTTTTATTCAGTTTTCTGTTTCTAATTTCCTCCTGCCTGTTGTACAGATACTGACGGCTGTCTGGAGGGAATCTGTGTGCTGGAGGCTGCCTGTACCGACGTGCCTGCCCCAGGGGTGGGGGCTGTGTGCACCTGTCCCCCGGGGATGGAAGGGGACGGCAAGCTGGACGGAACGGCTTGTACTGGTGGGTGAAAATAACCTATACAATAGAGATGTTACTGACACTGCCTTTTAGTTAGTATGATGTCAGATAAGAATAGTGTAGTAGCACACAACAGGTTTGCACAGTTTAGATATAGAAGTCCTGGATTCAGCATGTGCATTTATAGTTTGAAATGTTACCTTGGAGATATCTTTGGAAATTATGGGGTTGGCCAAGGCACATATAGCCTGTCAAAATATGTTTATAAGACTTATTAGTAGACATTATTTTTGTTTCAACCATTCTTTATTTATGAAAGCTAATAGATTGGCTTGATAGCTGCCGCAATTCATTCATTAAGGGCATGAGAGAAGAGGTAAGGGTCAGACAAAATACATACTTTATACATTATTAATGTTTTACTATTGACAGTTAAAAATATTGTTTTACAGATATGGATGGGTGTGGCACAGAGAACGGCCCCTGTGTGGACGAGGCCTGGTGTGAGGATGTGCCTGCCCCTGGGGTGGGGGCGGTGTGTCACTGCCCCCCTGGGTCAGGGGGGGACGGCAGGAGGGAGGGGACAGGATGTTCAGGTACGTAGGGCAATATTATCCTAGTCAAGAGAAATGTTTAATGCTATAATTTAGCAAAGCTTTTCAGCTCTGTTTGGTTACCATATTATGCCTGCCATATTAGAGAAATGTTTAAATTGTTATAGTCATGCAAATTAAGTCTTGGTTTACATTATTTTTATCTAATTGAATTGCTTTTCTATCCAAACTGCCTTGGACAGAAATGCACTTCTTTGAAAGCTTTTAACAAAATGTAGAAAACACTTTACAAGAGGTTTTGTTGTATCATTATGAGTCAGAGCTTTCAAAAACCATGGATAGTCATAAAAAAGATGTTGGGCCAAATTGTTTCTTTCTGTCATTGAGATACAATAAATTATACATGTAATCTGTATCTGTATCTGTATAGCCGGTATAACCGCCTTTCAACGTAACACACCAGCTCATCATATCATTTTTTCCAGATGTCAGCAGTTGCAGCCCTGCTCATAACCCGTGTGCGGCAAACGCCACCTGCGATGACCAGATGTCTCCACCTGTCTGCACCTGCCCAGCTGGCTGGCAGGGAGACGGCAGGAGGGACGGCTTCGGGTGTGAGGGTAAGTCTTCCCTTACTTGTTTGTTTGTTTTGCATGACTGGTATATCACCTTAGGTGTAACACCAGTTTTTTACAGTGAGTACAGGCTGCGTAAGACTGGACTGTTGCACCACTTACACTTCGGAAGGACTGATTTTTTCGATAAGTGTGCATCATCAGGTTCTTAACATGCTTATAGGTATAATGGCTGAGACTCCTTAAACACAGGGCCTCCAGTTTAATGTCCCATCAAACTGACAACCTTTAGAAAATAAGTGAACAATGCTAACCACAAGGTCACCTTGCCATCTATATAGCTCTGTCTTTATATAATATATACACTGTACCACCAAAATTGTACTGACATTTTATGTTCATTAAAAGAGAATGTAATTCATTAATGCAAACTATATCTATGTTGCTCTTGTTTTGTCACCAGACATAGATGAGTGTTCAGATGACACCAGCATGTGTGAACAGACCTGCGCCAACGCACCTGGCAGCTACAGCTGCGCATGTCAACAAGGCTTCCAGCTGAACGATGACAGTCGCACCTGTCAGGATGTGGACGAGTGCACTTCGGACAACGGGGGGTGTCAGCATGTCTGTGAGAATGACTATGGGAGCTTCTACTGCGAATGCAGAGATGGGTTTCAACTGGGGAGTGACAGGAAGTCATGCCAAGGTATGGGAAATTTACGGTAAACCATTTGATAACATATTCAGCACCAAGGACAGACACTTCTTTTGGATAAATAGCATCATGATAAAGGTTTAATAGCTATAAACTGTGCAAAATTTTTAATTTAAAGCATCTAAAACATGTATATATATCTGAACACAAGAAATCTGAGAATAATCACGAAAGTTTATATGTAGTAGTCATAGTAAAATGTTGAACTTAATTTCAACACTGTAAGTACAGAGAGACCAAATTTTCAATGATTTGAGATTTCCAGAAAGTATGCAATCCTTGGCTTCCTGAATTCCCGTGTCGACCACCATATTACAGATGGCTACCCGCCTTTTGACCTCTTGTCATTCTGCCTGTCAATCTTCCCTCACCCATGTGCTATCAACTTACACACTGGCCAAATCCAAAGCTACATGCAGATAAACAGATATACAAACCAAAGCTCAGACTCACAAAACAGTACTTTCATACCAAGAAGAAATAATAACCTTATTGGCCTGTATATCTGCAGATATGAATGAGTGCCGTGAGGACCACTCCTGTAGTCAAATATGTAACAACACAGCAGGCTCCTACTTCTGCTCCTGTTTGGAAGGGTTTGTTCTGGCTGAGGACGGGTGGACCTGTAGAGGTGAGATGTTTGTTTGTTTCTTTCTTATGTTTTGTATGGCAGGTAAACCATGTTTTGTGTAATTTTGTGCAAGCAGCATAATACCGGACTGTATTAACTTAATGGTGGATACATTTCTGGTGCTGAAGATACATAAATTGATTTGGTTACAAAACCTGCTGTAAAATATGGGACACATGATATTAAGCTCTGGTCCAAGGTTCATTGTACTTCTGAGCTGTTCAGAGTTTGGGGAATTTCCACATACAACAAACCTGTACATAATGGACATAGCATCTGTCTTCTTCCTTACAGCCACTGTAAGAAAAGCTCTTTGGTGAGGTAAAACTGAATCAAGATCACTTTTCTTTCATTAAAATGATTTGTTCCTTTCCAGCGGAGAACCCGTGTGCAGATGACTCAGGTTGTGATGATATGAACGGCTGGTGCACGAGTGTGGACGGGCAGGCTGTGTGCGGCTGTAACAGCGGGTTTGAACTCATGCAAGATGGGACAACATGTGAAGGTTTGTGTGACTGTTTATTTTTTCACATAACCAGCAAACCATCTGTGCCTTTCCTTAGGATACAATGTTTTCTATTTGGGCCTGCCCTCAGATTTAAACCCTGAGAACCTTTTAACTCCTGTTTTTGCTATATAATATTAGTTTTAGTGCTGAAAAAAAAAGCCTTATGTTTTCTTGGAGGGACATGAAATGCTTACTAATAACATGTCATGTAATGTTACAATTTTGAATGATGTTTGAAGACTTTTTTCAGTATTATGTGCAATACTGAAATATTAAATCCTATAATAACATAACCAATTTGTACAGATGTTGACGAGTGTGCTGATGACAGCAGTTGCCATGGCAACGCCACCTGCATGAATGTCCCAGGCTCCTACAGCTGCATCTGTGATGATGGTTACCAAGGCGATGGAAACACCTGCTCTGGTTGGTCATCACCGTTAACAACTTTTCTTGTAAAGCATTGCATCAAATCTGCCTAACACTTGTTTGGTGAATCTATTGAAGAGAAATGTTTTGATTGACAAAACTAGTTTTTTGTTAATGATACAGTACCATATTTTTGGGAAGGGAAAAGATGGTGCTGATGTCAAAGGCCATACAATAGAGTCATCTTTTTTATCAGTGCTGAATTTTCATCTATGGGGCAGAAATAGTGTTTTTTGATTAAAATTCCGAATGCCGTATGTTATGTTACTTCTTAAGTCTATTCAGTTCTACTGTACCTGTCCAGTACAATTTGAAGTTCCAATATTTTGGACTTGTACCTGAATGATTTTTGCAGCACTGTTCCAGTAACTAATTATGATTGCACTTACAGACATAGATGAGTGTGCAGAAGACCAGTACATCTGTGACCCCCTGAGGTCAGCCTGTGTGAACCTGCCTGGGTCGTTCCATTGTGTTTGTCTGGGGGGGTTTGTGATGGAAGATGGGTCTGACATCTGTCAAGGTAATGATAAAGTTTTTTTTATTCAGAGCTTTTAAGTTATTACTCCGTGAAGGAGGTCAGGACCTCCGGACCGAGTGTTGTAATCGGCTGATTTTTCATGTTCGCAGTCAAAACACTGGGTTCTCTTTGTGTAATCGGCACGCAATTTTATACGCCGTCTGCGGGCATGCCCGTGTTGATGCACGAATGTGTATTTTTGCCGTTGCTGCTTTCGCGGTCAATGTAATATCGCAGACGCACCCCTACAATTACGAGGCGAATTGGAATGGTCCAGAAAAACGCGTTGTTTGGAATAGCAGTGGGGTTCAAAAAAGTTCATGCAGATACGGGGTGGTTTTTATAAGTGGTTCCAGATGTTTTTGCCCATGGTTAAGAGATGCCAAGTTTTTTGGAAGATGTTCGCAGCCAAAACGCATTCTTCCGTACGTCGCATTTCTGTGTAATTTCGCATGTGGTGTTGCATTATGTCCGGGATGATGCACGTCTTTTTATTTTTACCGTAGCTGTTTTGATATTGGAGTAAATGCTTATTTTCGAAACATCCCCATTTCTTTGAAATGGTTTCGTCCGTTTATGCAACTGTTACTGCGCTAATGACGACCAGTCGCGCTGTCCTGATACACCGCGAATGTGCGAGTGTTCCCTGTAGACAGTCCCGGGAGTCATTTTTTGCACATTCCAGGAGCCAAACCAAAATACGTTCATGAACCGAGTCCAAAAACCGAAACGTGAAAATCGGATGATCGGACCTGATGTACATTTCTCTTTCTATAGATTGTACACACAATACACACATCTTTAGATAATCTGGCCATGGCAGGTTAAAAAAAAAGTAACCCTGAATCATACTAGATTAGCGTAAATGCATGTTAATGCGTTCAAAACAAGAAAAAAATTGTTTCCGGGTAGTTAATCTCTTGAATCACGGCGCTGAATATTGACGCAAAAATATTTCGGGCATCGCGCGCCCTTCCCGCGTCACGTGTAGGCATCTCGCATCTCTGATTGGTTGTTGCGTCTTAAGATGACTGAGCCGACGCGCGTTTAAACAATTTTTCTTTGTTCGATTTATCACACTTCACAGAGAATTGTCGCCAATGGCTACTTCTTTTTGTTGCAATATATAATACTTCACGGAGAATTGTCGCCTATGGCTTCTTGTTTGTTTATTGGTTTGGATGTTCAACACATGAGCAAGGGCAGCCCAACTAGCCTGTGGCTATTGCAAAGAGCTTGCATCGCTGACAAGACATGACATAGCAATAACATATAAAGTTAATATGGGTAGCTTAACAGTCTATAAAAATCACCTTCCACTCTCCATGCGACTGTTATCTGTATCTGACTGTATAGTCAGTCGTAATAACTGCCCTTCTGTGTAACACACCAGCTTCTGTATCTGTATAGCTGGTATAACCGCCCTTTGGTGTAAAACACCAGCTTCTGTATCTGTATAGTCGGTATAACCGCGCTTCTGTGTAACACACCAGCTTCTGTATCTGTATAGCCGGTATGACTGCCCTTCGGCGTAACACACCAGCTTCTGTATCTGTATAGTTGGTATAACCGCCCTTCTGTGTAACACACCAGCTTCTGTATCTGTATAGCTGGTATAACCGCTCTTTGGCGTAACACACCAGCTTCTGTTGGTTTTAATGACAGTCAAACACACAACCCCACAACTCCTCCACCTAAAAACAATACTTCCTTATCATACTGTTAAGCAGTACACTGTTAGCTATTGAGCAAATGTATTGTTACAAATATGCAAAGGTTAAAAAAATTTTTTTTGTTCTTGGCAGACATTGATGAGTGTATGTCAGACAGTCATGACTGTGACCAGAATGCCGACTGTGAGGACACAGAGGGCAGTTATGTGTGCCGGTGTGCAGTAGGATATACTGGGGATGGCAGGACGTGCACAGGTCAGTCTGATGGTTCATTAGCCCGAGTGTCAGCCTTTTTAGCTTTTGTCCGCTCTCCATGATCTGCTACCAGTCGGAAAGCTAAAATGGCTGGCACTCAGGCTAATGGTTCATGGGTTAGCCTCACTTCATCATGCTTTTAATGTTAGCTCCCTAAAGGTTTGATGGCCAACATTAAGTCAGGGGTATCTTAAAATGATAGATAATTATGATTCATAATTACTTTTCATCATCTATAGGGGAAGCAAAGGCAATAACTTAGATGTCCATTTCAGCACCAAGGACAGATGCCTTTCAAAATGTTTCTCATCATTGAAATAATCAATAAAACTGATCTGTGTTATATCATACACATACAGACATAGATGGCTGCAGCCCTGACCACAACCCCTGCGTCCCGGAGGCCACCTGTACCGACGTGCCTGCCCCAGGGGTGGGGGCCGTGTGCACCTGTCCCCCACTGAGGGACGGGGATGGGTATGTGGATGGGGAAGGATGCAGTGGTATGTTTTAGAAGAGTCATTTCTCAGAATACAAGTCAAGAGCTAAAAAAATAACACTAAATTATAAATATTAACGTTATCTCTATAATGTTATAAGACAGGTTTTACCTCCACTGACCTATCCACTGTTACATATATCCACCACTTTGAAACACAGTGTGTTTCAGAGGTCTCTACCAAACCCCCATCCCCCCCCCCTGCAGAGTTAGGCAATGCAGGCTATTGGAGTGGGTTGCTCTGGAAAACTCTTTTGGGGAAATTTTGGGGGGTGATCTTGTGAAATTATGTCAGAACAGAAGATAATAACATTTGCAAGACATAGTTTTAACGTTTTGAAAGCTTTTTATAATGCTTGTAATGAATACTGGTTCATTTTGAAAACAATTTTAATTTCATTTATACGGTACTTAATATCTTTTTCTATGACGCTACAGTGATACCCCAGTGCAGTTCAGATGCCAGCCCGTGTGTGCCCGAGGCCCTGTGCACAGAGCCCCCCACCCCAGGGGCTCTAGCTTCCTGTTCCTGTCCCAGAGGGTGGCTGGGGGATGGCAGAGTGGATGGGGAAGGATGTATAGGTATGTATTATCTCTTTAAACATCTATGCTGCCAACATATACATAAATTTTGCTTCTGATAAAAAACCTTGAGTGAAATATTTAGTCAGATAACATCATACTTCTAGCAGCCCTACCTCTGGTCAGTCCCCTAGAAGCTTGATGACCAACACTTCTCAGTCAGAAGAATTGGCAACATCATTGATCCTGTTGATTTATGCATATATGTGCTAAAATGGACAAATTATTGTCAGACTGAGAACTGTTTGTTACCACAGTGTTGAAGGCTGTGATGACTGGTTTACTTAGTGACATAGAATCCTGAGCTGCTATTAGTAGCTCTGGGAATGGGGGATTGTTCTCTGGAGTCTTGAGTTACAGGCAGTGAAACTTTTTTGCTGCCTATTTCAGACATCGACGAGTGCCTGACAGACACCCACGGCTGCTCCCACCTGTGTGTGAACACGCAGGGTAGCTTCTCCTGTGCCTGTCCTGAGGGCTACCTGCTCCGGGAGGACGGGCGGTCGTGTGAGAACATTGATGAATGTATAGATGACAACGGAGGCTGTTCTCAGGTGTGTGAGGACACAGAGGGCAGCTACCGGTGTGCCTGTCAGCCTGGGTACAGGCTGGAGGACGAATTCATGTGCTCAGGTGAGATACATCTTTTGAATTAATTCAAAAGATTAATCCATCTATCCTTTCATTCATTCATTCATGCATCCGTCCATTCATTCATCCATCCATCCATATGTCCATTCAGTCCATTCATTCATCCATCCATCCATCCGTTCATTCATTCATCTATCCATCCATTCATTTATTCATTCACCCATTCATCCATATGTCCATTTGTTCATTCATTCATTCATTCATTCATTCATTTTCATTCATTCATTCGTCATTCGTCATTCATTCGTCATTTATTCCATTCATTCATTCATTCATTTGCTTAGGTGAGACACATTTTTAATATATGAAAAAAAACACTTATTGTATATTTGTGTGCAATAACTTAGCGAATGTCCATTTCAGCACCAAGGACTGATGCCTTTGAAAAGTAGTTTTTCCAATAAAAAGGCACCAATGTTTAAGAACTTGTTAGAAAACAAGAGAAAAAAGCATTCTAAAGTGATAGGTACTAGGCTAGGCTAATTACAGTATAAGAGTTGCATCTTACTTCATAATATTTACAGTGTTTCTTATTATTCTACAAGCTTTAAACCAGTGTTAATATGATATTTTGTTTTAGAGGTAAATGAGTGTGCAGTGTTTTGGAAGCTGGTCCATTTTCCATATCTAAAAGTGTATATTACAATACTTTCTCATTGTATTATCATTCCATGATATATCTTAACCAGTGAATACATTGTTTTGTTGTGTCCTACAGATGTGAATGAGTGTGCGGAAGGCAGGGACAGTTGCCACGCCAATGCAGAGTGTATAAACAATGAAGGGTCGTACGAGTGCTACTGCCGGCCTGGGTTTGAAGGGGACGGACGCACCTGCACAGGTAGGGTAGAAATATACATGTTTAGGCAAAGCCACCATTGTGTAATAACCTAGATGACCCTTTCAGCACCAAGGACAGGTGCCTAGTTTCTCTTGTAGTTTCTCTACAAAAAGTGCATCTTCCCCTGAAGTGGTCTAACGTCAACACATTTTACTAGGCATAGTAAAAATACCTGAGGGATTGCTAAAATTTTCCCCAAATTGTTACAAGATCACTGCAAAAAACTCATTCTTTAAGCTTTGGATAAAGGTCCCATTTCTTCCCTCACATTTACCTTTATGTATGTTTTATATGTACTGAAAAGGGTTTTGTGCAATGGGTCTACTATATGCTATAGACCTACCACTAAGGTCTTACATACATACATACATACATTAACTTGCAAAAAACATTACATTATTTTTTTATCCAACAGACCAGGATGAGTGTGAAACATCAGACTGTCAGCAGCTGTGCACAAACACACCCGGCAGCTTCATGTGCGGCTGTCAGGAGGGCTACCTCCTATTGGACGACAGGCGGTCATGTGACAACATTGACGAGTGCTCATTGGACGACCGCGGAGGGTGCAGGCACATCTGTAGGGACACGGAGGGCAGCTACTACTGCGAGTGTGAGCCAGGGTTCCATCTGGCCTCCGACCTGAAAGCTTGCATCAGTAAGTCATTCTTTTATCATTCTTCACATCTTCAAATGAAAGAAAACAAATTTGAAAGTTTCATATTTAATACCTAAAAGTTATAAGACAGTGTCCTCCCAGGGTGCAGACGAAATAGTCTTCCGAGACTGGACTGCAAATGACAATAAGAATGTATTTAGTTCTAATGGCTTTATTGGTTCGAAAAGGCAGTGTAACAGTTAAAAACATGCAAAGCATTTTTCTGAGTCTTGGCTAATGGCTATAACTGTTATGTAATGTTGAATACTAGTAGCTATTAGCCAAGTCTTCCCATAATGTTTGCCTTACTTAATTAGTAGAAATGTTGCTGTAACAATCCTTTATTCATTACCTTGTCAGTAGGTTGTTTGATGCCTAGCTGCATGCAAGACTAAAGATTTTTCCCATGTGATTTCTGTTGATACAGGAGACAATGTTATAACAGCCAACCAAGGAGGGGATGGGGAGGGTGCAGTTCCAGTACAGCAGACAAGGGGAGCTCCCCTCCCCATGGCAGTAGGACTGTCCATCGCTGCAGTGCTGCTGGTACTCCTGGTGTTGGCTTTTGTCAAGTGTCGGCCCAGGATCAACCATTCTGCAGATGGGTAAGTAGGACCAAACAGACAATGCACAATACATTGTGCTAGGTACATCTACTAGTATGAAGGTTAGACATCTAAGTAGTACTGTGATACAGACAGAATTGAATACACTTTGAAAACTGTCCAATGTGTCAAGTAGCATCAACTACTTTTCATCAGTGACTAAAGGAATCTGTAGTTGAACTATAGTGATGGAATCCTCTTCAGAGCTTGTCTTACTTTTTTTTTCTAATGGACTGTCTAAATAATTGTCTTCTCCTTATTTAGATACCAATTCATTATGACTTTTGGACAAATAGTTGCCCAACTACAGTTTCCATTAGTCACTGAAAAAAAGTGGACAAATCTGCAATGATCTATCTTGGTCTTACAGCCTAAAGAACTCGCTGCCATCCGTGTTCTACAAAAAGCCCCTCAAAGATCCCGTGGAACACATCTATGACAACCCCAAGTTCCTACCTGAGACATCCATCAGCAAGGCTGTTAGTGAGAAGCAGGTCCGGTTTTTTATTTTTTTTTAAATTTTTTAACTTCCGTGTCCGTATCATAGCATTGTTCTATTTCATGCAAAAATTCACCCATTATATCAAACCCCTGAGGGTACATAAATTTTGTAGTCGAAAAGTGTAGCAACGTTTCCCATGTATGTTCCATACTTATACTAGGTTTGTTTATTGCAAATTCTTGCCCCAGGGCTAATTGCAGGAACAGAAGAAACATGGTGTAAAAAAAAAAATAGTTACAGATCATATACATGCATGTACTTAGCGAGTAGTATTAGTTGATTGGTGTAACAAAAGGATTTCATGTTGTGAAGCTTATAACCAATTATCACATCAGGTTTGGTTTGGTTTTCCTTTAATGCCCATAATCATGATAATGATCGTTCTGGGCATACACAGTTTCACCTGAGTGAAGAAAGTTGTGTAAAAGTGCCTTTCCCCAAGGGCACAAGGTTGGTGACTTGGCAGGATTCGAACCCAGGGCCTCTTGGCTCTGAGCATGTACATGTATGGCTAAAGTAAAGTTAACCTGCTTCCATATACATATAGGTCCACGTCATCCTGCCACCACAACCGTCCTCCCCACCGCCACCTCCGCCACCGCCGATTGGACAGAGCAGCAGGCGCCCGATGAGTAGGCGGTCTCCAACTGTATCACCTGCGCAGCCGCGCCCTGCACCTGGCAGCAGCCGTCGAGCCCCGCAGGTGTCTGAGAGAGCAGAGAACCCGTACGTCCTTGACCCCACCAGACACATCCAGCATCGCACGTCAGTGCCAGGTCAGAGGCCGGAGGTCAACAATGATGACACCATCAGTGAGCACATCTATGAGACGCTTGATCTTCGGGATGTTCCAGTTTCAATGATTTGAATAGACTGTAAATCACTTCATATTTGCAGTAGCAAAATTTCGTGCTTGGAGAAAAATTAACATGTTTGCTGAACTATATGCCACAGAGACAGCAGGTGTATTAGAAAGAAACTCTGCAGATTATTTGTTCGCAGTAATGATAAGTTTACAGTACAGAAGTGACTGTGAAAATGATGTAAAATATAAAAGTACCCCGAATATAAAGTGATTTACACTAAAGTATACCAAGGAAAAGGAGATACAAATATGCTTTAAGTAAGACAGTGGCTACAGAGATTCAATCAGCAAAACTTAGTATCATGATACACAGCACATAATGGATGTACATGTAATGTTAGGACACTGTGCACATTTGATGAGAGGTAAGCACTATAGTCTATTATAATGCAGTACTGTAGTGTGAGTGAGTACACATATTGCATCATTGTTTTAAATAGAAGCTATGCATTTTGAGAATATCATGCAATGACTGCAAGGCATTTTTTGTGTCATATTATACTTTGTTGCCATAGGGTTGCCAATATTATTTGCCAGCCAATTTTGCCACATTGTAGCAGTTTTAAGGCTACTATATACACAAGAATTGTGGTGATTATAACTTGTGATGTATGGGATTTACAGTCTTAACAAACATATAGGATGTATTTTTAATAGGATAAGCGTATCCTTTATCAGAATGGATTAATGGATGAAACTAACAGTGTGTACTGCACAGGCTAGTCCACAGTATTTAAGGGTTTTGTTGTTGTCACATTTCACTTCTCAATAAAGAATCATGGAAACCAATCGATGGTTGACATTTGTTTGAAATAAAACAGAAGTATACATTTATCTCTGCTCTGCTGAGAAAATGAAGCATCTAAAATATCAACCTAAATAAAAGTTTTCTTCCAGACCAATCTGATGATACATGTACATATATCTTCATGTGCATCAATTTTGGCCAGTGAAAAAAAGTTTTGCCAGTTGCCACAAGTTTTCAGATTGAGAAGTAGTTTGCTACATGGTCTACTGAAACACGAGAGCCTATCAATCTCCAATGATCAAGTAGGTGCTGGGGTAAAAGATTGTGGTGGTAATATATTCTGGGTGATAGCCAGACCTCTCTGATAGCCCCTTACCTTATAAAAACAGATACACAGTTGTTAAGGGAAAACAGATGTCCACATACACATATATCCTTTACAGTGGCCAAGGTGTCACATAGGCTCATTTTGCGACTCGATCCTTCTTAAGCCAGCTCATAAAAAGTTGTGTGTCAGTTTTTCCTCTCAAGTCTTTGAAACAGTACTCCTTTGTCTGCTCCAAGAGTTCTTCCTACATACAGCCCCTCTCTCCCTTCCACACACGGGATATCCTCAGCATCATGCCACGTTCTTTCATCTTCTTCGATCGCAAGTCTACCCAGAAGTCTACTCATCAAGTCTGGCATAGCAGGCTGTAGAAGTATCCCAGCAACCCTCAGTGTTTCCATGGCGATATGAAGGATGGTTCCCGCCCGTTCTCGGTCCCGGGGAGTGTCACCAAGTTTCCACGGCTTGTGTCTATGTACAAAGCCGTTCGCCTGTTTCACACACAGCATGGTTTCTTCTAACACCTTGTAGACGTGGAAGTTTTCATAGTGTTGATTAACGGAACCTGGAAGATGATACAAAAAAGAAGTGTCAAAAGTGATTTCAACTTAGATTTAGGAAAAGCAACGTGAAATAAAGAGGGAAAAAAAGGAATTTCAAAGTGATGTCAATCCAGTTTTAGCTTACTGAAGAGCTATTCTTTTACTGGACATGACAGAGAAGACAGATGCTATGCACAGCATCGACAGGTTCATTGTACCAGGAAAATTCCCCTAGCTCATTTCGACAAGTACAATGACATGTGAACCATGGCTTAACGTCCCGTCCTAAGAACTGCGTGCATGCTGGCTGAGTGACAACAGCCAGAATTCAAACTCCCAACCTCTTGGTCCAGAAGCAAGGTTGCTAACCACTGGACTAGGCATGCTACTACAAACAAACACTGAAAGCAAAGAAATGGCATTCCACAAATTGACATATGAAGTATATCCATTATTTCTTACTACCTGGTAACTCTTGTAAAGTCCTGAGTAACTTGTAATCCTCTTCTGTTGCCCAACTGCTGCTCTGTCTCCCAAGATGCACTGGGAACATGTCTGCTGAGCATGCTGGGAAGGTCTGGGTGGGGTTCAGGCTTGTTGCTAGGCACCGGTTCAGCAGGCCTCCGATGTTGCCTGCGAGGTCTGCATTCAGAACTTTCACCACCTTTTCATCTGAGTAATCTGGAAAAAAAATATACATTCAGGAATGAAAAAAAATAAACAAAAAGGTAATATTTGCAATGCAAATACATAATGTTTACCTTCTTCACATGGTCTAGCCTAACAAACTTCTGTTTATTGTTACTCAAATACATTCATATATGATATATAGTGACAAGCCCATCCAACATTATCCTTCTACAAAACACCACAGGGTGGCTGCTACAGCACAATTTACCATGGTAACAGACCTCTGGTAAAGGTCATTGACTTAATTTGTTTGGTCTGGCTACCAGCCTCTGGTGAATATCAGCCATGCCAGAATGAATATAAGTAGTGTGATGATCATTAAAGAAAGAAGAAAGCTATCTCTATTTAAGAAGAAAATGTCTTTCTCACCACCATCGGCCTCCAGCACCCCATGTTTGAGGAGAAAGTAGCGCAGTCCGTCTGCAGAGTATCTCTGGATCCTGTCAAACGGGTCAACAACGTTTCCCTTACTCTTCGACATCTGAAAAATGGAAGGAAATTAAAGAAAAAAGGCAGAATCATTGAATAAGTCAGAATAAATCAGTAAATGTAAGAGTAAATGTATAACTTGTCTTTTAGGTGCAGTCTTCATATGCACATAATTTTTGGGTCAGTATCATACCATCTGCATTGACCAACTTAATCTTAGCATAATGTCCAAACATGATAAGCAAGTTCTGAAGATAAAGTATCAACCTATTGCTTTGCTGTTTGAATAAAATTACAAATCTATGCTGAAGCAACATGGATCATGTTGCACTACTTTAGACTGTAGTACCACTAATGGTCACTAGAGGGTGCTGCTAGCATTAAGAACAAATGTAAGGAGAGCGGCATCTCCTCTGCACACCTTTTGACTCTCCATCAGCCAATGGGAGTGGGTGACCACGCTCCGCGGGGGGTCTAACCCTGCTGCCATCAGGAAAGCTGGCCAATAGACAGCATGGAACCTGGTCAGATTAAACATAGATACAGGTATTGAAATGTTAGAAGTCTGTGTAAGCACAAGGTGCCTTTGCACAATGCACATTGACCTATGACTAAAGTTACTATGTGTAGAATTTACTGGACTTGTCTCACTAAGACCATAACTCTCATAAGCCATTGGACATTGCTAATTTTCACCGTAGCAAACGTCTGAGAAAAATGGATAAAAAATGTGTTCACAGAACTGTATGTTCATGGCAGTGGCAGGTGCATGAGTTCATAGTAAAGAAGTGAGTAAGAAAACCGAAACATAAAAGTACAAAAAAAACAGGAATTACAGAAATTACTAATACCATGGGTCATGGCTGTATTTGTACAATGTAATAGGCACATGTTTGTTCCCATACCTGACAATATCCTTTCCGACCACGTGGCAGTCGGCTGGCCAGTGGGTGTGGTGGTTGTCAGGGTAACCACAGACTGTCAGATAGTTCACCAGAGCATCCAGCCACACATACACCTGATACAAACAATTTCATATAAAACCAAGCACGTATCCCAGCTGATCTCCCAAGACCATACCTGTGTATGACATTGGTCACAAGCCACTACTACAGATATAAATGTTAAAAAAAAAAGATATTTAATACGGTCAAAACTGCCCAAGAAGACAACCAGGGGACCGATAAAATCAGGTCTATGTGGACAGGTGGTCAGACTATAGACAAGACTATTAATGCTTGTATCAATGGGTTAACATACTCACATAGCGTACAAGTGCATATGAGTTAAATAAGCGAAGATACGTTTGTGGTGGTGGCAGGTACAGCAAAAAAAAGTTGGTAACCGTGAAAACCATGAATATAAAAGTACCACAAACATTTGTGATTGTATTTCCTGCTTGCTACCTACCGTTTGGCTGGGGTCATCAGGTACAGGAATCCCCCAGGGCAGGCGGTCTCTCTGTCTGGACACAGACAGGTCCTCCAGCCCCTCCTCCAACCAGCCTCGTACCAGGGACCGGTACTTACAGGGGTACACAGCTATAGGGAAAATATACAGGATACAGTCACAATGTATCATACTTACAGGGGTACAACGCTATAGGGAGAATAAACTACAGGGTGAGTACAGTCACTGTATGTCAATTATATAGTAGATAATTCTGGAGTTACAGTCCCAGTTAACAAAGAAAGAAAAAAAGGAGTTGATATAAACAGGCTCTGGGCCTTGGACTATTCATTACAAAGATTTTACCATCTACTAGTATGATCTTCTAGTATCTAAATCTACTTTGAGAGAGTGATCTTCCTCTAGGCTTCGGGAGGTGGCTGGAAAGAGTAGAAATTGGCCAAATAGAGAGAGTGCGGCAAACTGTACTCTCCAGCGGACCAACTCCCCTGGTATGTTATCTCTCTATTTGGCCAATTTCCAGCCCCCTCCCAAAGCCTGGTAGAGGCTAGCGTTGAAATGCACCAGACAATGATACCAGTGACTCTCACCTCTAGGATTGGAGTCGAGCCACTGCATGAGCCGGGGTCCAAACTCTGACAGACGGAACATGTAGTTCTCCTCCTTCATCCACTCTACTGGGCTACCTGTTTCTATGGCAACCTGGAGAGGAACGTCATTGGTCAGAAGGATGACTTTTGAAATTCATCAGGAATGCATCATTCTGCAACCCCCAAAATGGTTTGTTTCCACTGACGTGACAGAAATAGGAGAAGTTCACTAGCATTTGACAAAATAAAAAGAAAAAGAAACTTTGATTCAAATAGGTATCAGCCCTTGTTTGAAGCTACTAGTTGTAGTGCAGGTATTTACATAGCTTTTCTAACATTGCATTTACTCTTGCCTGACTATACATCATGATTCTGGCAGCCCTCCCATTGACTAGGCCCCTAGAAGCTTGATGACCAACACCTCAAAGTAAGGAGAGTTGGCAACATCTTACTAAAGTAATCTGTGGACTTATGCATACTCAGAACTGTACCATAGCATTGGAGGCTGTGATGACTGCTTTCCATAGTGAAAGAGAATCCTGCGCTCCTATTGGTAGTTCTGGGAACAGGAATGGTTCTCTCAAGTTAGAGGTCTACCAGCTGACAACCTCTCAAGGAGCCTAATCAGCCCCTGGCAGCAAAAACGTTGTAGAGGCTAGATCTATACATACCTTGATGTTTTTGCCTGTAGTCTTGTCCATACTGTCAATGACTTTGTTGTCTGGTACAAAGGCTTCATCTGAAGTAGAGTACCAGCCTTCATACTTCCCCTGGTAGATATAACCGGCAGACTGGAGCTTTCTCTGTGGGGAAACATAGAAAGGGCTGCTCCAGTGTTTTGATAGAAATCACTAGCATACTGCAAAGTCCTTTAAAAGCAACCAATTTGTCACCAACTTATTGACTACAGCTTGCTTAAAATGCATTCAGGTGGACCGAGTAACCTGTTTTGAATGAAAGAAGGTTTCACAGTTTTCAATTTTCAACTGGCTGGGACTAAGTTGACTCTCTAGTCTTATATATGTTACCACATTGTAACTACATGGAACTACCTTACCCAGAAGTGTTCCACAGACTTCCTGTGTCTGGACTCAGTAGTGCGTATGAAGTCTGTGTGTCTGACGTGGCTCTTGCTGAAGAGATCCTGTAGATAGTGGGCAGAGAATGAACTGAATCTATACAGTGGTCAAAAAGCAGAAGTTGTATATGGATCACTTTTTCTTCTGTCTTTGCAAAATCTCTGCAAAAAGTAATGGTATTCCTCACCCTGAAATGTTGTGACACCTCATCACAGAACTGCCGAGGACCCTTCCCATGAGCCACTGCAGCCTGCTGGATCTGTAACCATAGCATTAGCAACTTTACTGTGAAATTTTTGCGTCCTAAAAATTAGTAAATCATTATCCATTGGAAAATAGACTTAAGTGCTCCTTTGAAAGCCCACATAAGATCAACTTGGCTACTCCCAGACATGAAACTCCATACCATACATCTAAACCATGTGACACATTATTAGATTAACCAGCTACTACTGACCTGCACCCTTCAGCTAGGCTATTATATATACCAGACATAAGTCTACATGTAACTCCATAACATTAAACCATGTTCTACATAAGATTAACCAGCTACTACTAGATACCTAACTTACCCTAACTTCATACCATACCTTTAAGCCATGTTCATCTGTGCCTGTAGAGAAGATGGATCCAGCTGCCCCCTTCAGCTGCTGCCACCTGTGAACTGTGTCTGCCAGAACAGCTGAGTACAGGTGCCCCAGGTGGGGGACTAGTGGTTGGATGAAAGAAACAAAGAAAAAACTTTAAATTACAATCGATTATGACCCTACAATTATGAAAATAACCCCCAATACTTGAGATGAACAGCCTATAAATTGTACTGTACTTTCCTTCTGTAACACTAGACAGAAAGACAAGAGGTTAACTTTGACTCCCGGGGATCGAATTGTACACAGCTTGTCAGTTCATAACCGAGTACACAATCACTAGACCAAAAGGTTCAGGACCCACTGGGCTGGGCAGTTGGTGACGCTTATACCTTGCTGTTACACCTCTAAGAAAACTGTACTTGTATGCAAGTCTGACGTCTGGAAAATTTATGAAAATCTTGGTTCTTCAGAGATAATGTTGTCAGCTATTCTAATTCAAACCCCTCTTACCGGAGTTGACGTAAAAGATCGGCGTTGTGATGAGAAACTTCTTTTGATTCTGCTGTCCGCCGTCATGGACCCGTCTGGAGGGGGAGGGGGGCGCCAGCCACCGTGCCTCGCACAGAAACCGCGTCTTTCCCGCCAAGAAAACTGATCTCATTCCACGGTGTATGGTCCCCATTGGTGAAGCGTTGTCTGGTATGCTAGAGAATCCGTTTTGGAGCCTAAAGTGTGGTAGTTTCGGTGCGAAATCCGCAAAATCAACGTGAAACTGAAAGTTTCGATGACACAGACGCCGCCATGTTGGGTTCAAAGGTTACACGAATAGACCAATCACAGCAAATGCTGGACTAAAGGCGGGGAGTACAACAACTAAGGCCATACTGATGTAATAATGTGGATGGCGTCCCTTGCACGCCAGAACTAGACAACGTTGGACAAAATAATATGCATTCATCATGTTCGTTATGAATCTACGTGGTCAAGAGGGTTGAACAAATGACTGAACACCAAAACGTTTTTCCCAAATAATATTAAACATCTTTGACTTTGGATTGACTAAGGATTGAAATAAACTTTTCTCTTTTCAAAGTAGTCTAGTTGTGGTTGATACATTTAGCAAAAATATAAAGGGAATTCTCAAAGAAAGCAGTTTCCCAATATTTACTTTGTTTGCAAGTGAGAACATAACTTACATTTCCTCATTTTGTAGCTTCTTCATTGACAATATAGTCGAAATGCTTGTAAATTGTGTTTTGATGCCATCCATATTATCAAGTCAGTGTGGCTTTAGCTTTCAGACCAATGTTCATGCAATCAAGAACATTATATTATCCTGTATAACGCCATCGATGTAATTTAGCAGGTATAACCGTCTTCATTCATGTCACCATCCCTTGATAATTATAGGGCCAGAATTCTATCGTTATCGCCTAGCTTATGATCATCATCATAGCTTGTCGCCAATCCACTCCAGCCAGTTCCGCGCTGCTTCATTGGCCTCCTGGAGATCTGTGTCTGTGCAGGTAGGACCAAGCCTGCAACCGTGCATCAGGTGCTGAATGGTCTGGGGATCCTCTCCATAGCTGCAAGTTGTACTGGTGGACTTGCCCCACCGTGCCAGGTTGTCCCCTGTTCTGGCCACCTTAGCCCTTGCCCGTATGATGATGACAATATACGCATTTCACCTATGTTGTCTGCACATCATGTTAACCTGAGATATATTATAGATCTACCAGTGTTTTTTTTAATCACCATCTCTTGATAATTATAGATTACCCCTTATCGTTATCGCTGATACTGATCACAATACAGTACCTTAATTATACGTACATGTATTTCCCTTAACACGTTGTCTGCACATGTTTACCTGTATTACATAAAATGATCTAGCACTGTGTTTTCTTTTAATCACCATCGTTGCCCTGTGTCCTTGTTTATCATGTTGAATTATTCATATAGGGATTAGCGGGGCAATTTTTGCTTCTAAAAATAGATGATGACCTAGCAGTTCTCATTGTCACAGTAATGACATGTGAAAAACATGACTCTATTTTGGGAAACATGTAATTCGAGATTACAGACAATCTTAGAAAAGGCCGATAACAAATTCAGGCTGTCGGCTGATGTAATCATCAACTTGCGATTTCTACCATGTGACATGAACAATGTAATACCAAAGGGTACGTTTGAAGCTCCTTGATAAAAAAAAAATACACAACACCCAATGCTAGCGCTAGAAATAGGTTCTGTGTGTTTTATATTCAATTTCAGGGGGTAAGATCATTGGTTTGTCCCATTTGTGGGCCACCTATAACCCAATTAGTTTGCACATCGAGTTTGAGTAAGGTTTTTGAGTAAGAAAGTTTTTAATTGAGCCCTGTGAAACAAAGAACACTTCGCCCACGGGCATCGCGACAGAAGCGATGTTTGAATGAAGGCTTGCAACAATATCATAAAAGTTTTCTCTCAAAAGACTTTATTATCCCTCTCAAAAATATAATCTTACAAGTAGTAGTAGATTTGAAGTCAGTTGTTTTGTGAGCCTATTGAAAGACTATTGCTTCGTTGCGAAATTTAAATCGGACGCTAAATGTCTGACCAAGAAGGTTAAATTCTTGGCCTAACTTAAACTTCCTGTTCGCAAAAGGCTATTCAGAGTAAGAAGATTATTACGGGAGGTTGAAGAGCTCGAGGAAATCCTTATTAAAACCTGCTGAGTAAAAGTTACCAGATGTGGCGTGCTGAGGGAAGTGATTACAGACAACAGTCCCGGTGATCCATTAGGATAACATCCCGCCCCTTTAATTAACAGCACAAACAGGTTTTACGACATAGGGAAAATCTATTTTTGTTTCCTTTTGTTCCAGGTGGTAAGTAAAAGTACTGTCTTGGTGATGTGAAAGTGCTATATATAGCTCAAGCCCTTTCATTTGTGTGTAAACTACAATAATTATGCATGTTTTTTTCGTTCTTAGCGGGTAAAATATCTATCTTTCGCAATGTGACAGTATGGTATCAGCATTATACATGTATCATAGTAGTGCAGGCAAACTGGACCCTCTATGGCCGGCCAACTCCTCTGGCCAATGATTTCCCCCTTTGCCGATTTCTACTATTTATTCAGCCTGCAAAGGAGTCTGGTAGAGACTACATGTATCACTGTATAGTCTTTAGCAAACATATGCAATACAGCGTTAGCTACTTTAGTGTGGTTTATTTGAGTAGATTTAGACTATATCTAATAATATAAATCTAATTATTCAAAGAAAGTCCACAGCTAAATGAATTGACATAAAATCCCCCAACTGCTAAATGGTACCGTTATGTACAATAATAAACATTTGAGCATATTTCTCATTTGAAGGGTCTGCGTGAGTTAATTTCTTCCCACATTCGAACAAGGGATATCTTTGTCCTTCGCTCACACCCAGATGTCGTCCCGCGCTGCATGATTCATTGTTTCTATAATTAGCCGAGCTATTCCTGGCGAAATTAATGTTTCCGTTTTTGGCAGGCGGCTGTATTCCCCGGGGCACCCGCGGTTCAGATGACCCGGCACCCTCCCGGGGCACGTCGGGTGATTGTGTTGCAAATTTGGGAGTCGCGCCCCGGGGTACGGACTCTACCATTCGTTAATCCAAAACAACATATTTTTATCTTCTATAAACAGCTGTTATAAGCAACAAAACATTAAAAAACACCCTAACTTTTATATTGTTCGTAAAACAAACCTTACCTGGTCTTAAGCGTTGACGTTTGTTTAGCAGATTCACAAAATTTACCGGGAGTTCTACCCTATAATTGAATGGCACGCTCCATTCAGTTCGGATTGAATCAGTCAACTGCGGCCCACAAGCGGACGGCACCGGTACAAGCCACAGCGAAGCCTGTATCTGCCTGTATATGTGATTCTTTAGCGCACAAAAACTCTACCCCCAGTGGATTTTGCTCTACGGTCCTACCACCAACGACTCCAGCACAGGACACAGGTAAAAATCTCAATATTACAGCTTTTAATGCTTATTTTTACCGAGTCTTGTGCATGGGTGTAACGCATGGGCCACGCTACCCAAAACACAGCCGTCCCAAGCCGCGCCTATGTCTATAAATCTCGAATGAGCGACCATGCGTTCTACACCATTGTTCTTACCTTTAAAAATGGGGCTTTTAGATATTCCTTGATGTAATATTATACCTGATAACCTTGCTTATCAAATGTTTATGTTCTGATGTATCCGGCCTGGACTGCGTCTGTCTGAGCCTGATGCAATTTTTGTACGACTCGTCACAGGCCCGCGTTATACACGGTGCGTCAGATGACTCATGTCTGACGGCTTAGTCTGCCGTTTATATAGATAAAGAATAGTATAGATAAAGAATAGTAGAACAATGACTAACACGGCAAGCCTGCAGTACTATGTACAAATGTATACACTACACTAAGCAAAGCTAGTGGCCACTAAAAGCAAGACCAGGAATCACAAATATACGATTTAAACGATATTACGCGATTCGACACTCAACAGCATAGTATAAAAAGAAGTAAAGATTTAAGTTCCGTGAGTGTTTTGCTCATTCCTCTCCCCACTTTAATCCAAACTAAACCGAATCGTATGGCTCGGTGTTCCGAGAAAAATATACCAGTAGCGTGCTGTTTTATCTAGATAACGAGCGATATCCGGTTACTGCCGTGAAAAATCAAGTTCACACTTCCGCCAGATGTCCGGAATAAGAAAATAACCTACAGCTTATACTGTAAAATACTAGTAGCTAGTCTGCAGAATTTAGGTCTTTCCTATAGTATGTCTTGTGGATCATCAGCAAAAAATAGAGTCAATATATATTTGAATATTTGGCCACCACCAGTGAGCCGCGGTAAGGGTATTAACATTTCTCCAAATGCAGACTCCCCTGGAAAATTGTTCTCCCTTTACTGTAACAGCGTAGGCTAGTAGGCCTTTAGTAGACCATAGCGACAGCATATCATAATGGATAAATTTTCTCTGAATGCAGACTCCCCTTAGCCTCTACCAGGCTTCGAGAGGCGACTGGAAAGAGTAGAAATCGGTAGTTGGTGATGGTCTGCTGGAGAGAACAGTTTGCCAGCAGATCAACTACCCTGGCTGGCATGCTATCTCTCATGGCCGATTTCTACTCTTTCCAGCCTCCTCCCGAAGCCTGGTAGAGGCTGGACTCCCCTAGAAAATTGTTCTCTCTTTACTAAACCATCGTACGAGTAGTCAGGCTGGTATAGACTAGATCATGCCCTGTGTTACCGATGTCTCAAATAGTTGTCATGTTGTTTACAGTGGTGTCCGATCAGGAAACAAGGCTTTGTGAAAAGAATACATTTGTCTGGGTGGGAGGAATAAATAACTCCATTGTCTAGAATGTGCAAATAACCCATTTACACAACACAGCGCGTTTTGGGATGTTTTTTTCTACTAGTAATGGGACCGACTGTTACGATTTTTTTGCACTATGACGGGAAAAGCATTCTATGCGTACTTCTAAAGTACGCCGAAAGCTTTCCTTGTAACTTTGTTATAGCATCACCAGGGTCCAAAAAGTGCGGAACAAAATAGTAGAATTGGCGAAATAGACTGAATAGATCTAGTCTATGCCAGAAGGAATCTGGATTACTATTTTTCAAGCAAACCTAGGGATCCTGGTACATGTAGAAGCTAGATTTGTCCTTGCCTAGAGGTTCTTTTCAGCCCAACCGGTCACCAAAACACGACGGCCGCATGCCACAGTCACCTTTCCTGTATGGTAAACGGACTATATCAGGTAAATCTATGCCCCACTTTCGTCAATAAACGATCTGTTTATTTCAAAACTTGTAAATAAAGGGAAGAAGATCCTGTCCCTAGGGCTAACACTGTTTGTTTTCATATTTTGGATTCTCTTTTATTTGCTGATCCAAAAGCTTACTAATCGAGTTCCTTTTGTCCGTTATATTGACAGACGACATCAAGTACGTTTTTTGTCAACAGTCCTTTGTAGATACCTTTCCAGTTTTCTGTGTAATGAAATCGTCTGGGATTTAGACATAGCTCTAACTTTCAGAAGTTGAATTTTACGGTTGCCATCCCCATACGATCGTAAACTGCTGCTTTTCAATAAACGTACGTGATACCATTGAGCTTCAAATAGATTTTATATACGCGATACGTAGTCTCCACCAGACTTGCAACGCTGGAAAATCATAAAATTAAGCCAAATAATAAATAAGGAAAATAACTGGTGAGGGAAATTTAGCCACCTAATTAATCTAGAGTTGCTTTCTGTCTCTCTCGCGGATTGACTCTCCTGGCCATATGTACTTTTGTGCCCGGTCTGTACCCCGTAGGAAGGCCTGTTGGAGGCTACGTGATACGAAAGAAGCAAAATGTAAAATGTCGAGGTTCGCTGCACGCCAGGCTTCGGGAGACGGCTGGAAAGAGTAGAAATCGGCCAAATAGAGAGAGATAACATGCCGAGGTTGGTCCGGTAGAGAGTACATTTTGCCGCACCCGGCCAATTCTCTCGGCATGTTATCTCCCTATTTCAGTGTTTGACGGTTTCTACTCTTTTCAGCCGTCTCCCGAAGCCTGGTAGAGGCTACCCCGAGACATCTATAAACCGTCAACTGTTCTAGACGATAGTTCTATTCTAGTCTTCCGTGCTCCAGAAACTGTGCGGAAATGACCTTTTCCCGAGCAAACCTGCAGGCAAAACAAATGGGGAGAGAAGCGGTCCTAAAATAACTGCATTCTTCACAGTTGACTGACAGTTGCTAACAGACAGGACACAGACACATGGGTTATCACATGTACACTACATAGACGCACTATGTACTGTACTAGTAGTAACAACAAGTAACACCACCGAAGCCCCTGTCACACATTCAGAACCTTCCTCCGACCTTGTACCCGACCAAGTCAGCGAACCAGTTTATTTTTGCACCGCTTACTGACAAGACAAGGTGATAGCACACTCAAGTCTTAAACTTGTTTTTTAATGTCGCCACCGACTCAGAAAAGAAAGCACAAATGGTTTGCTGAAGGTTGGGAGCAGTCTGTCCAGATTCAGGGCACACCTACATCAAAATCTTGCCGACTATGTCCCAACCATTTCAGATCCTGTTATTTCCCAACCAGTACACGACCTACTCCCAACTAGCTCTGAATGCTTCGAACGTAACTTCTCCAAGCAGATCTTTAGGTGGTCGCAAAGACCTTATCAAATTGACCAGACAGTATCAAATTGGCCAGACAGTATCAAATTGGCCAGACAGTATCAAATTGGCCAGACAGTATCAAATTGGCCAGACAGTATCCATTGGTTCATACGTCTAAGACTTGTTTAATTTAACAATGCATTATCTTTTCCTTACAGGTCGTTCTACTACTGTTTCCGGAGTCTACACTATGAACCTGTAAGAAAACACGCCGCACAAGCTAAGGAGAGCTCCAGTTGAAAATGGTAGAAGGATGGATCCTTACAAACAACATGACGAACTCTACCGATCCCGTCTTTGGATCAAGACTCTGGACGACCCCTCTTCCAGAAAACACTTCAAACACTACAGGCAACGGACCGCCATGGACTGTCTCCCCCTCACTGGATGACTCGGAGGGCTCCGTCTATACTACTCAATATGTTGCAGGGCAAACCAGTGCAATAATTTTGATATTTCTCGCGTCTTGCGTGGGGAACTTTCTGGTGGCGTTCACGCTATGGAGGAAAGCGTACCTACTGACGGTCAGCAATAAGTTCGTCTTCAGCCTGACCGTGTCCAACTTCCTACTGTCCCTACTCGTCTTTCCGTTCAGTGCTGCCAGTGCGGTCCTGAGAAGGTGGATTTTTGGGGTGGTTTGGTGCAATTTCACCGGTTTCGTCACCGTGTTGGTCAGTTCTGCCAGCCTGCTCACACTCGGCATTATTGCAATAGACAGGTGAGTTCTGCGTTCTGGTGATTTCTTTTTTTTTTTTCACTTTTATAACTTAAATGCCTGGGAGTATGGGACTACTCTGTCTCCAAGCAGAGGTTGGTGGGGAAGATTGTCACCTTTCTATATATGCCCCGCTACCCCAGAAAAAACGGGGCATATATTAACTTGTGCTTGGAGTTGGAGAGTGTGTCGGACCCCGGTACACAAATGGGATGGCAAAATATGAAAAAATTGTGTTTTATTTTCATATTCTCACAGTTAAATGGGTATTATTGTACTTTTTATTCCGATGTTTCGTAACAGAATAACAGTCGCAATTTGCAAGGATATAAATATATTATATAAATATTCGATGGAGCATTTTAACTTTGGCGTAAACAAGCATTTGCATTCATCCCAGCAAAAAAAGTCTAAAGTTAGAAAAAGAGACCACAGGGATCCAAATTGCCACTTGCTGTTTACTCTTTCTAAAAATAAGGTTAATGCCTGGAAATATGCGATATTTATAGCAGGACCGTTTCTGGGTCTACTTCCATTATACCGTGAACCGTAGCAACGAACTAGAATGTTCGGCGATCGGCCAGACAAAGGGAATGAACTGAGTTACTGGCTCCGAATAAAAGAAGGAAACCAGGTCGTGGAAAATGGGGATATTTGAACTGTCCATCAAAACTCTGGGGAGGTATAATCTCCCAGATCAGACAAAAGAAAGCTGTACAAGGCCGCCATTGTTCAGGGTAAAGGCTTGTGTTCTTTCTAAACAGATTTTTCGCTGGGTGAATTTCGCCTGTTACTGGGGCGATGGAGTCAATGCGAGGTCGGCTTGAAACACAGAGAGGCTGTTGATACATTTAAAGCACCAGAGTCTACAAAAAAGGGCCACACAAGCAACCCATAGCCCGTGTGCATTTCGTTTCTTAGAAATATCGGTAGTCTAGTGATCGGACAAAGGGTGATTTTAAAAACTGTGACCCTAACCTAGTCTCTACCGCTAGCCTTTACCAGATTGGGATAATAGACTTCGGCAAAAATAGAGTCTGACTGGCCAGGGGATGGGTCCACCGTTTATACTAGGGGTTTCATTCTTTTTCCTTAGACTGGCAACACTGGTACAAAACACTGAAATTAAGACAAAAGGGGAGAATTATTGGCCAGGGGAGTTTAGCCACCGCCGTTTAGTCACCATTTGCTGACTGACTCTCCAGGCCTATTAATAATATAAGTATTGTGATGCTACCAATTTCTACTGTTCTCACGCAATTGTAGTCTGATAGACCCTAACTCCATAACATAACATTACCAACTTGAGGAATAACAGACGTTCTATTCTTGAATTTCTCGCCTGTACGCGAGTGTCAATGTTGAACACGTCTGGTGGGACATGGCAGCTGCACGAGAAATGTTTTTACCCGGGCCGCCGAGCGCTATTTCTGGGTCCGATGTCGCCTTGTCGTGTCGGTGTGGGATAAACAAGGCGTGGCTTCTCGGTACACATGTCCCCCAGGTCAGGTATTATTAGTAACAAAGGATTAGCAGCCGTGTGCGAGGATAGGTGTCGATAAACTAACGCAAGCAGAGCGAAACGACCGGGTTCATCGAGCTTATCTCCTAAGCAGATCCTACGGTGGCAAGGTCAGAGGAGTGTCCATTAGGCCACCGAGCGACTGAGGACTGTCTCTACATGGCCAGTTCCATAACGTCTAACCGCCATACTTTTGCCGCCAGACATCTGCTTGGAGATTGCCTAGTTGAGCCTGTTGGGGGCAAACTCATAGTCTCCACCAGACTCCTTTGCATGCTGAATACCTTACCTTATAGTAGAAATCGGCCTAAAAGGGGATTTAATTGGCCAGAGGAGTTGACCGGCCAGAGAGGGTCCGTGCAGGCAAATGGACCTTCTCTGGCCGACCAACTCCCTCGGCATGTTATCTCTTTATTTGGCCAATTTCTTCCCTTTCAAACCTCCTACCGAAGCCTGATAGAGGCTAGCAAATTCACTCCATGAGAGACTGGCCACCAGGCTACGATTCATCACTTATCATCTGTATATTTTGCTACGAGATCACATAATCTGGGCCTGGGGCACAGTGAATGAAATGTTTGGATAATTTCTTGTTTCTGTTATTTCGTCGTCGTGACCGGCCTTTCAACTTCAGACCAATGTTTTTGTAAGGTGTGTAGAGGCCCTCGCTTCTTAGCAAGTTGTTCAGACTGCATTTTGCTGACAGCGGGTTTTCAAGGGCCAGATATAGTTTCCACTTAACCTCACCTAACGCGACTACGTAAAGCTAGAAAAATGCAAACTAATTGAACTGCAGCTTTTGAAACTGCCGACTGAATAATGAAAACAAAACATGTAAATCCTTGTATATTTGTATTCCAGCTCCATGCATTGATTCAATGCCATTTGTTTGATTGATGTAGATGCTATTTTTAGCCTGGTGCCCAGTAGGTGTACCGTGGGGCGCGACCTATCACCGGGGTGCCTAATTTACTGCGCTCAGGGCTGCTGGCTGCGGGTCTATTTACATGTTACACGCAGCTACCGTTGTAGTATGACGACTGGGTGTGTTGACAGACAGACAGTGAGCTAACATGGTTGGATTTCTGCTGACAACCCCGTTCCTTTGTCCTCTCAGAATAGCCCCCAGCTCAGGGTTAATTTTGCTGATCTCCAAGCAGATCCTAGGGTGGCAAAAGACAGTATCCAATGGCTAGCCTCTACCAGGCTTCGGGAGGCGGCTGAAAAGAGTAGAAATCGGCTAGAGAAAAAGCATACCAAGGGAGTTTGGTCGGCTGGAGGGTACTCGTACAGTTTGCCGCTCCCGAGCCGACCAAACATGGCATGCTATCTCTCAATGTGGCCGATTTCTACTCTTTCCAGCCGCCTCCCGAAGCCTGGTAGAGGCTAGCCATTGGCCAGAGAGGGTCCAATACGCCACCCTCTCTGGCCAATGGAAACTGTCTTTTGCCACCCTAGGATCTGCTTGGAGATTATAATATTACGTATGTATGTCTAAGTCAAGCAGTGTATCTTTTGTCTACACTTTTTTTATATATGTTTGTTATGTGTCTGTTAAGTCTTGACCTGTACCTACCCCGTCGTGGCATGAATGTACAATAAAGGTATTTCATTTCATTTCATTTCATTTATAATTTTGCCTCTGGCGCGGGTGAATGAACTTTAGTATTACGGTGGCCAAACTCTCCTTATACTGTTTTTAAACTCCATGTTTAAACTCACGTTCACGATTGTTTAGTCTGGTTGTTTAGACTACTCTCAGATACACTTAAAACTTCCATCTCTCTTCACTCGCCTAGAGCAAGAGCTAAAATTGCCTATCTGTGATTCTATATTTGTCAGCACCCCTGAAAGTATTTAGGTTACCCGCCAGAGACCGGCAAAGAAAACATCACTTAGCTCGGCACGGTGTCTGGGTAAGGACTATTCCTGATACAAGAGGACCAAGCCAGGCCTGGACAGCTAATTAAAGACCTGTTGAGGGAAATATAGACGATTTATGTACAAGTAATTCATTACCTGTCTCCGTGCTAAACACGTCTGTAGTTCCCAGCGACAGGACGAAAATTCCGTGGATGTCTCGGATGTTACAAGTGATCGGGAATTCTGGGTCCTGATTATTTCCTTGCCTATCTGTCGTTGAACTGGTTTCTTGATACGTCTTTTCGTTCTCTTTTTCCGTGGTCTCCAGCAAACTTACTCTCCAAGCAGAGGTTTGGGTTTTGGGGTATTTTTAACGTGGGCCTTTTTAGAGACCTTTTTAGAGGGGTTTCTTTTTTGCACTGGAAGAAACCCCGATAAAAATGTCGAAAAACACGCCAGAAATAAACCCAAAACCCAAACCTCTGCTAGGAGAGTACAGAAAACTACCAATACGGGATCGAGAGAGAATTCTTCGCCAGGACAGTTTGGCCACCATTGACAGATCATTTGCTTCCAAGGGGAAATGTTAATGCCCTTACGGCACGATTTACTCTGATTGCCTGGCCAATTACAGACCCTTTTCGCCTAAATTCTACTATCCTTCGATCTGCTAATATGCTATCCTACTTTTGTCGGTGGACGAAACATATGAATCTTGACATATTTTTGTCGAGGGGGGGGGGGGCATTTTTTCTGTTCTTTCAACAGAGCCAGGTTAAAATGCACGGTGTGGTGTCATCCACAGTAGTACATACTAACATAGCATCCCAGGACAAAACCACAGGAATTTTAGACGTTGTAACTGTCTCTCGTCTCCGCTGTTCTGTTTTCCAGAGTTCTGTGTTTGGAAATTCCTAGTCCAAAAATATGCACCCCCTATGGGTTCAGTTTTTCACAAAATCTTTGTTTGGAAATTTTTAATCCAGAAATATGCACCCCTATAGCGTTTTGCGGTTTGGTCTCAAAATAAAAGCAATCCAAAACGGAACGCAGTTTTTATTAGCAACACAAATAGAGCAGAGACGTCACCCAAATGTAGAATGAAGGGTGGTGGCCGGTGCTATTTTTTTAAAAAGTCTATTCTAAAAGGTCATAACATGAAACATCGCATTATTGTGTAAAGAAAAATACAAAATTTCTAAATCTGATATGTGTATTCAGAAAAAGACTTCAACCAAATGCAGAATGAAGGGCGGTGGATGGTGCTATTTTTTCCCAAACCCCAAAACCAATTCTAAAGGCCATATATATATATAGAACATGAAAAACCGCATCATTATCATGATTATGTAAAGGAAAGATATAAAATTTCTAAATCTGATAGGCCCATTCATAAGAAGTTATCATTTTGCAGCACATTCATGAAGTATCTAATCTACTACTAGTAGGCAAAACTATTTCCGGATCAGAGATACTTTTATCTGACCCAGTTTTTCCATGTTTAAGAATAGATGTGGGTTCACGTTTCAACCAGAGTGATAAACTTCAACTGAGAGGACATGGAAGTGCGGTCAAGAACAGTAAAAGCTCATTGATATCTCCCAAACACATGTCTAGTTGAATTTCTATTGTTTCAAACAGATTGGTACATGTTCTTGTACAAATGGTGTTGTTGTTAGGACCCGATCGCATACGTCGTACAATTGTCGCGCGATGGTCGTACGATGGTCGTACGATAACTGATGGCGTTCTTGGGATAGTTGTGCATGTGTCCTGTAACATTCAGCTAGCTGGCTTGTTGCTGGAAAGGCTGTCTTAGATTCTTGTTGACCGTTGGTTCTGTCACAGTCCGCTCGAAACTTGTACGACGTAGAATGTAGCCGCGCCCTCAGACCTTATATACAGACATGCTTGCGGTCATCACTAAATATCCAAGCATATCCATGGTATCTATTTGTTCGTGGTTTTACGTAGCCTGGATGCCAGACCCAAAGCACACTGGACACAAAATATCTCAGTGTGCAAGCCAGGCTCACTGAGATATTTGTGTCCAGTGTGCTATGGGTCTGGAACCCAGGCTAGGTTTTACGTCTCTAGCCTGGTCTCTCCGCTCTTTTTGGTGAGGATTTTTCGTGGCACGTTCTGCCATATGGCCCGACATGATTACAGTCACATGCAAAGGCTTAGAGAAATCCGCCCAACGGGATTAGACCTAAATTTGGAACCAAAAGAAAAACGACGTAATCCAAAAGGCATCCGCATATGTCACCACTAGTACAATACTACAGCTGCCGTAGACAATTCAAACTCTACTACTGGATAAAATGATATTCCTACTAAATATAGATAAAAACTCCACGTATAAATCCGGTAATACTAATAGAGTCTTAACTGTCTCGTAAACGAGTATCGTTTACCTGATATCTAACCTTCATGAACGTTGAGTCCATACTACACTAAGGACGGTAATATGTATACGTACATACATTGTACTCTGAGTCTCTGACATGTTCTCATTTCAATATTTACACAGAAAAAGAACTTAATTCAACGACATTTGCTAGATGTAAATACGGCAACTAGTACATATATATGGAACGATTGCTAATGTGTATATTATTGACAGGGACATGTGGTTTCTTCGTTATTTCCTCTTCATACTTAGTTTTTCTGCATAATCTCAAGTCGCAGGTACTACGCCATAGTCCGTCCCATGATGTACTCCGATATCATCACCCCACTGCTGTTGTTCTACATCTGGTTTCATCTTTAGTTCCTAATGATACTTACTTCTTTCTGAGTACATGTATGATAAACTTAAACCTATATTTGATGCTATGTTTCCAGGTACTACGCCATAGTCCGTCCCATGATGAACCCTGATAGCATCACCCCACTGCTGCTGTTCTACATCTGGTTTCATCCTTAGTTCCAATGATACTTACTTCTTTCTGAGTACATGTATTGATAACGACTTACTTTATTTTAATGATATATCCCCAGGTACTACGCCATAGTCCGACCCATGATGTACCCTGACATCATCACCCCACTGCGCGGGTACCAGCTGCTGTTCTACATCTGGCTGCACGCTACTGTCATCGCGCTGCCCCCGCTCTTCGGATGGGGAAAATACCAGTTCCAGGTCAGTAGGATTAGTCTCTACCGGGCTTCGGGAGACGGCTTGAAAGAGTAGAAATTGGCCAAATAGAGAGATAACATGCTGAGGGAGTTGGTCCGCGCTTAGAGAACAGTTCGGGTGCGGCAAACTGTTCTCTAAGCGCGGATCAACCACTCCCTCAGCATGTTATCTCTCTATTTGGCCGATTTCTACTCTTTCCAGCCGCCTTCCGAAGCCTGGCAGAGGCTAAGTAATTACCTACGGGACGGAAGTTTTGTTTTTGGGTGGCACTGGTTTGGGATAGTTTGAATGGTTTGGAAATGAGTGGGCGAATATTGGGCTTCAGTTGATTGACAGGGTTGTGAGCGCCAAGAATATGCACCGTGTAATCATGGTATGAAACATAAACCATGGTTTATCATGCAATCGTTTGAGAATATGATGCACTTCAATCGGGTACGAGACCCCTACTAGTGACATAGGTGCTTAGCTATATTAGGTAAATATTTCCCCCACGACCATACTGTGCGGTTCTAATAAATTCAGAAAAATACAAAACACTTCCCGGAGATCAGGAAAACCCCCAAAAATACTTACCGTAAATTTGATAATCATCAATTTCTTGGTGACATTTTACCTCATGTATCACTACAGGTGTCCAAGGCGAGCTGTGCCGTACAGTGGGACAGAAGTTTGTCTTACTCCATCGTCTGGACCACGTCATGTTTCGTCGCGCCGCTGCTCGAAATGTTGTTCTGCTACTGGCACATTCTCCAAGTCGCCCGGACAAAATCGCGCAAAATCCACGTCGGAAACCGCGGACCGGACGCCGACTCCCCCGACACCGGTCTACAGTGCCCCCTCTACGTCAGGACAGGTAAACAATGGAAAGCCGCCAGAACTTTAGTCTTCGTGTTAGGCTCGTTCATCATTCCGTGGGCGCCCTACGCCGTGTGTCTGATGTACCAGGCTGCGCACGGACCGGGTAGTCTGTCACCATGGATACAGAGCGTGGTGGTGTGCCTGTCGTTCTGCGGGAGCGTCTGTCACCCCCTGATGTACGGGGTGTGGAACAGAACGGTTCGGAAGGAACTCGTGCTGCTGCTGTGCGGGGACGACAGGCTGTACGGCCGCAGGGGATGGAGAAGCGGCCTAGGGCGACGGGTAAGTTACTACTTACTGGATATATACATTAGATGCCATTTTTTGCAAAGCAAGTGCAGTTTTACCGATTACCTGGCGTCGCTGATTACGAGAGGCTCAAACTGATTTGATACAATTGACTTTTGTACTACACTTTTCTGTTACCTTCGAGACGAAATTATTGTTATGGGTGGCGATGGTTGTATGTTTGGGTCCCGATGTGAGTGAGTCGAAATTGGATTTCAACTGATTGACAGCGTTTTAACTCTGTATGTTTCGTCACCCTATTCCAATGCCAGCGCCACCCGATCGATTTTCCAAAATTTGTTTTTTATAGCCCTTCATCGTTTTACCGGTTTGGGTGAATTGTATCCATACTTAACATCATTATTCCAACGGTCCATCAGAACAGCGCGGTATTTCTATCCGTCGCCATTTTCGTTTCGTACTCTCGCGGAACAGTAAAAATTTCGCGATGTTTTCTAATGACCATATATGTTTCCTTCCTTCCAGGGGCGGCGTGAGTCCAGGACCCGCGCTCTCAGCATCTCCGTGCGCATCACAGACCTGGGCATGTCACATCAGCTGATAGCCGCCATTGCCCTGCGGACTGATACCTACAGCACCACATCCGGGACAGACAACACCGGCAGGCGCACAAGTATTCATAGCGACGACTCAGGTGAGCAGAACTAAATGTATTTCCGTCAGAATACACTGTACAGTAATTTGCAAGGCTATATCACGTGAAGGTTAACATCATGCATTTTATTTGCATTACTTTTGTTATTCTATAGCCAGTTTTAGTTAATATCCAAGCAGGTCTTTTGGTGACTGCAAAGAGAGTATCAAATTTGCCAGGCAGTATCCATTTGCCAGACAGTTACCATTTCGCCACCCGAGAAATAGTAACTGTCTGGCAAAGGGATACTGCCTGGCAAATTTGATACTGTCTTTGCAACCACCAAAATATCTGGTTACTTTGATTTCTTAAAACTGGTTATAGGATAAGAGAGATGAAAGGGAATGCAAAGAATATTCATTATGTGTACCTTCACATGATATAGCCTAGCAAACTGCTGTTCTGTGTATGTTGCCCCAAATACATTCACATGTATATAATGTATTTGTAGATCATATATATAGCATCGTTCACATAATCAGTAATCAAAATGTATTTCTTCTATGAACATTTTTTCATACTTTTTACAGGAACTACATTGATGACGCTAGAAGATTCCATTGGTTACGGATCACCCCCCGCCAGTGATACGTCACTTCCGTCACCCCCTCCGATCGTGACGTCACTTCCGAATGGTTCGTCAGACCACGTGGGCATGACGTTGTCCAATGGCTACGCTCCGTCAGCTACAAACGAGGACATGTACCCGCTACCCCTGGAAAAGGCCCTTCAAAGGGGACGGAGACCGAGTAACACACTTATTAAGGCTTCTCAAAGACCCTCTTTAGAGAGCATAGATGAGGGTTTATGCAACGCCTCCTGTCTGGACGGACAATAACTGCAGTATTTTGTCATTTTGTGAAAGACTCAACGAATGAGGGGGCTTTCCTTATCTTTCATGCTCAGGTGCTATCGAAGTAGAGTTATGTGTTGTCGGAGTTATCCAGTACAATAGACATACAAACTCGTAGTGTGGTCGTCTGTCGTCACATGGCCCTTAAAACACTAGAGTCAATGCAATACGTGTTTTGTAGTTGCAAAGTTTTCATCGATATTTCTGATGTACATTTGTTGTTCAATAAACTGTCCTTTATATAAAAGAACTTTCCGGTTGAACCTGGTTTCGGTTCAGCACTTGTTTTAATGATATGATATGATATGATATGATATGATATGATATGATATGATATGATATGATATGAATCTTTATTGCATGTTCTTGCCCAGATGGGCTAAATGCACAAGAGGATATCCAGTATGTAAAACATGAGTTTCAGCTTCCAGCTTCATACCATTATAAATCTAGCACCTTCACCACCACTATAGGCCTTCATCATTTCATGCCATCAAGTGCCAATTGTTATAAAATACAGTCAATTTATAAAAGTACTTTTCAAATAGTCATAAAAAGTGACTACTTCTAATGGGCATTGGTTTGACAAAAATTGAATATGCTGTATCTGTATTTACAGCATATGCTGTATATAGTCGTTTCACTTAACAATTATTTGGTATTTTTCATGCTGAAGCTAAGTATGTACATACCCTATATAGCTATCAACGCAAGCACCATAGCACAGCTAGCAAGGATTTTACATCTATATATTGATGACCAATTGTACAAAAAGATACTAGTTCGCTGTTTTAAGTTCTCAGACCCAACAATGGTGTGTTGGGGGGGGGGGTTTACAAAACTTTGTGGCACTATTCTACTTTTTGTTAAGATCCTCTAATAGAGTCCTTATCGCTTTAAGATCGCCCTCCATACTCGTCATTCTCTCGCCGAGCGACTTTAGTTCACCTCCAACGTCCTCTGGTGGACTGCGAGAGAACAGCAGAAAATCAACATTGTATCTTTTGCGGTAAAATTTATTCTTTTTCTTATTTATTCTTTTATTCCATTTTCCGTCGTGGTGCATAGTATTAACGCAAACTATATCTACTTTTATTAGTTTATTTTCCATCATTTTACCCAGAGTAACCCACTCAGTGGTAATACTGCTTTTCAGTGGGGCCCTGCGTGAAATGCGACACGTATATAGATGTGCGAAGTTTTGCTGGAGTAAAGCTGTAAAAAAGTAAAAGCTGAAGGTTTACCTGTCTTCTGCAGGTTGTTGTATCTTGTAGATCCCCTTCTCTAACTTTGTCCGTACGTTAGAAACAGCCTTTTTCTCCAGCTCCTGTAGATTTGTGTCTTCCTTACCGCTGAACGTCCGCCCTGTTCACGGCAAAATTTCACAAATTTTAGGAAACATAAGGCTTAGTTACATCCCTAATCATATATATCCCCTGTATATGGTAATATGAGTTCGCGGACGAGGACGTCCGCTTGATGGAAAGAGGGGGATAGTGTAACGGTTATGACTTATTATGATTTGTATAATTAGGGTAATATGTAAATGACCATGTGGAAAGACTACTTTAGAGATTATGCATATATTTGCGCGTTAGGTAGGCCCTGATTGGTTGGTGACAGTCAAGCTGGTACAGGACAAAACCGAACAACAGCAGTGTAGACAGAAAGAGTTCTATGACAAGAAAGTTCATGGCAAGCCCTATGAGATTGGCGACACTGTCTTTGTTCTGAACAAACAAGTAGGAAAGGGACTTGCGAGGAAATTGGCGCGTAAGTACAACGGCCCATTTGAGGTTGTGCGCCGTATTGGCGATACATACGAAGTGCGTAGCATGAGAGGAAGGGCACAGCAGAAGGTAGTCCACTTTGAGAACCTAATCCCTTTCTCTCCCACGCAGGAGGACCCGGATTACAATCCGCGGGACGATGGCCCTCGCCGCCCCGCCCGCCCTAACCGTAACCGGCGTCCGGTCCCTTCCCTTTCAGAAAGTCCTGTAACGTCCGAGGAGGAGTCCTCCCCGGGCACTTGTTCCGGTTCTGTTTCAGGTTCCGACCGACACTCAGACGCTGATGACGGCCCGACCGCATGGACCCACCCGAAGGCTCCTGTCCAGCCGAGAAGACAGCCTGCAAACCGGGGGGTAGAGAGCGGTGACGACGGGGGCAGCGACGAGTTCCGGACGTGCCCTGACGACTCTGACGCTGGTGACCAGGAGAGACCTTCAACGAGCCAGGCAGCTGATGACCGGAGGCCACGCAGACAGCGACGCAGACCAGCACGCCTGGAGGACTTCATCAGCTTTGACTCCGACGAGGAATATATAGATTTAACATAGCTGAGTGTTGTGTATAGCAAAGGTTTTGAGCACAATGCATTATGATGGATGACATTCATGTGTATGTTGCCTTGATGTCATATCCCGTGTTATGTGCCATATTTGATTGTGTAATGGATATGTTTATATTTGACCTTGTTTTATTATTATGTTCTATCCCCTGTATATGGTAATATGAGTTCGCGGACGAGGACGTCCGCTTGATGGAAAGAGGGGGATAGTGTAACGGTTATGACTTATTATGATTTGTATAATTAGGGTAATATGTAAATGACCATGTGGAAAGACTACTTTAGAGATTATGCATATATTTGCGCGTTAGGTAGGCCCTGATTGGTTGGTGAGAGCAACCAATCAGGTTAGGGACTATTGTGAACAGAGTTGAGCTTGGGAAAGACAATCGCTGTGTAAGTCAGTCGTGACCTGGATCCAAGGTATGTGCACATGTCTAGTTGTAGCTCTGTAGATAAGTAGATTGTATAACTGCTAGTACCACATCTGTGTAATCCTAGACCATGGGTAACCCTCTGTGTAACTACATGCTAAACTCCTTGTGAACCATTAGACCACATCTACCTGTTTTAGAGTTAACATACGGATCAATAAACCCGGCTCAGCAGAAGTAATCGAACTGTTTGGATCTCTCTCTATACTAAGATACTATAGAAGCTAAGATACCAAACGACCACTAGACCTCAAATATTACATTATATTACAAATATTGCAAAATTAGAGTTAGCGCCCATCCTTTGGAGATAGAGAGAGGCCGGTATAGAAGGCTACCTGTATGTGAAAGAATTTGTAAATATTGTAATGCAAAGGCTGTGGAAGACGAAATACACTTTATCTCAAATTGTTCCTTTCATAGCAACGCTCGAAATGAGTTAACTATTCAAACTTCTACAATTTATCCCAATTTTACTAAACTTACAGACCAAGAAAAAACTATTCTTCTTTTAACTTCCCAAAACCCACTAATTTTAGAAAAGGTGGGACATTACGTCTTCCATAGTCTAAAAAAGAGAAGTCAAACCCCTTAGACATAGTTTTAGACATAGCTATAGCTCTAGACAACTACCTTTCATCATGTAGATTTTAGTTATTTTATACTACGTTTCATTGTTCTTTTATGTTTGTCTGCAATTAGCCCCCCGGGCATGAATTTGCAATAAACTTATATGATTAGGGATGTAACTAATATTATATTAACTGTCAAAATCACCCCCACCCATACAAATCAAGTTTCTTCCCGCACCTATATACTATTGTAGCCCTTGGGTCACACAGTTGTGCAATCACTACATCTGAGAGCTAGACTAAGTCCACTGGTAGTGGTATTTTTAACAAACACACGCGCTTTTCCAAATGCTTCGTGCTATGAAAAGCAGATAAAGCAGTATGTAACATTTTTAAAGTCTTAGGAATGACTCGTCCGAGACGCGAACTCACGAACACTGTACCCACTTGGCCATTGCACCAGTTTTGCATGCATCATGCAAGAAACGGTATTACCACAGAGACAACTCAACTACCGATAATCCCTAATGTTACTCACTGAATGGATTGTTTGCCGTCTCCCTGTTCTCTGCCCCGTAGTGCTGCCACAATTTCTACAACTGGTGCAAATGTGTCTTGAAGTCTATGACTGCCCCCGTCTCGGTTTCAACTAACGTCAACTAACGCTTAACTAATAGTTTACAGTCTAAGCAGAAACGTTACTCACTGAATGGATTGTTGGCTGTCTCCCCGTTCTCTGCCCCGTAGTGCTGCCAGAGTTTCCACACCAGACCGATGATGAGGAGCGGTCCGGGGCCCAGAGGCCGGTCATGGTACTCCTGGATCACGTCATACCGGTAGTAGCTCCAGTACTGGTGCGCATGCTCCTGCACATGCTCAATGGTGAAGCTGGAGATAGATTGTGGAAAATGATATGAGGTAGATGGAATAACTATATGAAACAATTTGGGTATAGTAAAGTATAGCAAGGGTGCGTCTTGTATGAACTGTACGTACGTTCTGGGTATGATAAAATTAAAACATAAAGTACTTACGTGAAGAGAGCAATGAGCAGGTTCAGTAACATCACATTGACCAGCAGCATGTAGCCAGCTTCCATGAAGTCCACATACCATGGCACTGATTAGGAGAAAAAATGCCCATCAGTATCATACGATTTAGTCGTGGCAATCACTTCTATTATGTTCTCTATTTGCCATGTGATACATTTCAACCTGTTACTAGTAATTCCTGCCATAATGATTTTCTAGAGATGTGTCGTTTTTTTGGTTGCGTTTATGTATGTATGTATGTGTGTGTGTCTGTGTGTGTGTCTGTGTGTACATGTATTTGTACTAGTCTAAATGCCAGTCTTCCTAGCTTTAGCCGAAGTCTAAACCTCTGGTTAAAGAGTTTTAACTCTTAAAAGAGTCTCAGAACTTACGATCCGGTCCCTCCCCCTCCTCCAAGTTGAGCAGTTTGCCGTTCATCTGCCAGTACGATGTTTATGTGTATGTGTGCGTGCGTCTTTTTAGCTATAGCCGAAAGCTAAACCTCTGCTTGCAGAGTAAAGAACTCAGCGTTTAGGCTAGTGAAAATCTAAACTTACGATCCGGCCCCTCCCCCTCCTCGAGATTTAACAGTTCCCCGTGCATCTGCCAGTACGGGGTGCGGAACACCTTCTCTGTGTGCACATCTACCCTCTTACCCTGGATGCCATACATTTTAGCTTTAGCCTAAGCCTAAACCCCTGGTTAAAAAGTCTCAGAACTTACGATCCGGCCCCTCCCCCTCCTCCAGGTTGAGCAGTTCGCCGTGCATCTGCCAGTACGGCGTACGGAACACCTTCTCCGTGTAAGCGGGGGTGAACTTGCTGTCCGGCTCGGTCAGGGCCAGCCTGGGCACGCCGTACGCCACCACAAACACGGCCAGGATGCACAGGAAAAACATCACGTCACCCACCTGCAGATAAAACACAAACACAAAATTTGGAGAGATTTTTTAGGTACGCAAAGGAATGCACAAATCCAGCAATGTTTAAAAAAATCATGTCGAGAACTAGAGCACGATGCAAACATGCACTAATTATAAAACAGTGTGAGGATAGGGTGAGAGTTGACTCTACTGCTAAGCGTTTTTGGTATCAGGCTGGAAACTACGGGGAGTTTTTGAGAAAAAAAAAAAGAAATTCCAAATCCTCTCATACAGTATTATCCAATACCATTGATGGTTATTCTGGTGCTGAAAATATTGCGTCCAATCCCCAACCACTCACTTACAGACATACAAACAAAGCACAGATTAGGGCTAGTGCCAACCAAAACAGTGCGTCCGTCCCGCGATGAAGGCTTACCATTTTCCAGATCATGACTATCTTGGGTCCCATGGTCTTGCTGAGGTAGAACATGGGGAACGTCCGGTAACAGATGAGGATGAGGGTGAAGCAGTACAGAATCCGGATCAGCTGGAAATCCGTCTTCTCGAAGCCGCGCTCCAGGGACAGCCGGATCAGGAAGGAGATCTCGAACAGCGCGACGATGAAGATGTCCAGAACGTTCCACGGGTTGGAGATCCAGGTCTGGATCATCACACCTGCGCCAACCTGGGGGAAAGGGAAGAGTTATACGCCGATGATGACGGTAAGACATCCTAGTGAACCATTACATAGACAAACATACACAAACACGTGCACACTCACCCTACACACACACACACACAAACACACACACACACTCACATACACACAAACACACACACACACATACACAAACACTCACATACACACACACACATACACAAACACTCACATACACACACACAAAAACTCACATACACACATACACATACACAAACACACACACTCACTCACACACACACACACACACACACACACACACACAAACACTCAAATACATGTACACACACACACACACACACACACACACACACACACACACACACACACACACACACAGGAAGACCAAGAACAATACTTTCGTTTTCATGTAGGTAATAAACTTCTTTACTTTGCGAAGGTTTGTGTTCCCAGATCTCTAGCTATATGTACATGTATATTCTTGTACACACTTAAGCTTATCAATAACATGCATTGAAATCAGAATCACAAGGCTGTTCTCACCACACTGTACATGAACTTGGTGATGGGTGCTGTGTAGTAGAACGTGACCTTGTCCAGTATGGACGGGCCGTCTTCGTGCTCGTGTGTCGGATCCTCGTCACCGACGTACTCAATGATGAACAACAACGGCGGGAAAATCATAGCAGCTACAATCTGAGGACAACAGGGAGAAAAGATGTTGCTTCAGTGTGCATTAATTTAGCGTCCAAACGTGGCCCTTGTGGCTTTCCACCGAGCAAAACTCGTTATAAAACGCAAGTATTAAAGAACAGGCTGTCGCAGAACCAACAACTAAATAAAGCCAGCTTTCTTGGAAAAATGATTGCTGAATTTTGTACGACACATGGGCGACTATGTTAAGGTAGTTTTCGATCGTGTGCTACAGTGCAAAGATCGGGTGTAACAGGTCATTCGGTGTACCATAGCTAGCTGCCGCCTCGCCGCGTGCCTACGAAGCTGGGGAATTAGGACGAAGGACAGTTATACCAGCTATACAGACACAGATGTGGCCGTGCCGTTACCTTCCACGTGGGCGTGTGGCTGGCCATCCTGCCCGTCCAGATGTTATCCAGCGTGAACTGGCAGGTGGCTGTCACAGAGCCAACCACGATCGTACGGCGATCTTTGAGCGATCTTGGAGAGATCGCACGACATATGTGACCTTGATCTTGCGCTTACCTTCCATGTAGGCGTGTGGCTGGCCATCCTGCCTGTCCAGATGTTATCCAGAGTGAACTGACAGGCGGATGTCACAGAACCAACCACCAAGAAAGTTTACGATCCTATAGAGTGATTGTACGACATATGTCCTTACTTTCCATGTAGGCGTGTGGCTGGCCATCCTGCCCGTCCAGATGTTATCCAGAGTGAACTGGCAGGCGACTGTCACAGAACCAACCACCGACAAAGATCTTACGGCGATCTTGGAGCGATCGTACGACAAGACCTTAGAATTACCTTCCATGTAGGCGTGTGGCTGGCCATCCTGCCCGTCCAGATGTTATCCAGCGTGAACTGGCAGGCGGCGTGGCTCATGACCAACTACCTAGGTACTAGTAGTTTACGATCGTACGGCGATCTTACGATGATCTTAGAGCGACCGCGCAACAGACGTGAACATGTCCTTACCTTCCACGTGGGCGTGTGGCTGGCCATCCTGCCTGTCCAGATGTTATCCAGCGTGAACTGGCAGGTGACTGTCACAGAACCAACCACCAAGAGAGTTTACGATCCTACGGCGATCTTAGAGTGATTGTACGACAAGACCTTAGCCTTACCTTCCACGTGGGCGTGTGGCTGGCCATCCTGCCTGTCCAGATGTTATCCAGAGTGAACTGGCAGGCGGCGTGGCTCATGACCTCCATGTCCTCCGCCATGTCGATGGCGTCCAGCGGCGCGATGTCCCCCCACTTCTGCCGCTGCTTCACCAGGATGTCAGACGTCCCCTTCTTGTCCAGCCGGTAGCACTCCTTAATCACGAACAGAGACATCTGTTGGTACTCCCTGTAAATAGCAAATAAAGAAATTGGAGATTGTAGACTTTCACACCATTTCCTGCGTCTGTCATT